AAAAACAGGATTACTTTCAAAATATTTCTGCTCACTTACAATGCACCTGGTCACCCAAGAGCTCTGATAGAGACATACAAGGAGATTAATGTTGTTTTCATGCCTGCTAACACAATATCCATCCTGCAGCCCATGGGTCAGGAGTAATTTTGACATTTAAGTATTACTATTTAAGAAATACATTTATTAAGGCTATAGCTGCCATAGACAGTGATTCCTCTGATGGATCTGGGCAAAGTAAATCAAGAACTCTCTGTGAGGATTCACCATTCTGGATTCTTCATTAAGAACATCTGTGATTCATGGGAGGAGGTAAAAATATCAACATTCACAGGGTTTGGAAGAAGTGAATTCCAACCTTCATGGATGACTCTCAAGAGTTCAGGATTTGAGCAAAGGAAGTCACTGCAGATGTGGTGGAAGAGCAAGAGAACTAGAATTAGAAGTGGAGCCTGAAGGTGTGAGTGAATTGCTGCAATCGCATGACAAAACTGTATTGGATGAAGAGTTGCTTCTTATGGATGAACAAAGAAAGTGGTTTCTTGAGACGGAATCTACTCCTGGTGAAGATGTTGTGAACACTGCTGAAATGACAACAAAGGATTTAGAATATTCCATAAGCTTAGTTGATAAAGCAGCAGCGGGGTTTGAAAGGATGGACCCCGATTTTGAAATAAGTTCTACTGGGAATAAAATGCTATCAAACAGCATCGCATGCTAGAGAGATATCTTTTGTGAAAGGAAGAGTCAACCAACATGGCAAACTTCATTCTTGTCTTATTTTAAGGCATGCCACAGCCACCTCAACCACCACCCTGATCAGTCAGCAGCCATCAACATGGAGACAAGACCCTCCACCAGCAAAAAGATCACAAATTGCGGAAGGCTCAGATGATCATTAGCATTTTTTAGCAATAAAGTATTTTTTTTTTGAGACAGAGTCTCACTGTGTTGCCCGGGCTAGAGTGCTGTGGTGTCATCCTAGCTCACAGCAACCTCAAACTCCTGGGCTCAAGCAATCCTCCTGCCTCAGCCTCCAAAGTAGCTGGGACTACAGCATGCCCGGCTAATTTTTTCTAGATATTTTTGGTTGTCCAATTAATTTCTTTCTATTTTTGGTAGAGACAGGGTCTCGCTCTTGCTCAGGCTGGTTTCGAACTCCTGAGCTCAAACAATCCGCCTGCCTCGGCCTCCCAGAGAGCTAGGATTACAGGCGTGAGCCACCGCGCCCGGCCATCAATAAAGTATTTTTAATTAAGGTATGTACATTGTTTTAGACATAATGCTATACTTAGTAGGACACAGTATAGGGTAAACATAACTTTTATGTGTACTGGGGAACCAAAAAATTCACATGACTCACTTTATTTTGATATTCACTTTGGTCTGGAACCAAACTTACAATATCTTTGAGGTATGCCTTTTATCTCACACTTAACTGAATTTTCTTATCACTTCTAATCATTTTTCAGGGGATTTTCTTAGGTTTAAACAGTAGATATTAACCATATTAAAATCATCTGGAGAACTTCGATATTTATTGATGCCCGGCTCCCACCCAGTCCAATTAACTTGAACTTGCTGATGGGTCCAGAGTGTACACACACACACACACAAACACAGACACAGACACACAGACACACACACACATTTAACTCCCCAGGATTCTAACAGGCAGCCAAAGTAAACAGTTGAATTACCAAAAAATAAATATAATCTCTTGCCTTTCTAGTGGTCCTTAACTAGAGGTAATTGCCCTGCAGGGCTGTTTGGCAGGGTTTAGAGACATTTTGGTCATCATGATGGTGGGGAGAGTGAGGGGTGCCACTGGCACCCAGTAAGCAGAGGCCAGAGATTCTTCTAAACATCTGGCAACGCATAGCACTGCCCCCACAGCAAAAACAATCCAGCCCAAAACGTCAATAGTGCTGAGGTTGAGAAACTGATTTCTATCTTTTCTTTAATTTTCTTGTCTAATTGCATTGGCTGAAATAGCAAGAACATGGTTAAGTATCAACAATGATAACTTCCAAGAAGATGAAATCGACACAATTTCTTTAGTTTAGTTGCCAATATCAGGAATGAAACAGGATATCATTACAGATTCTGCCAACATCAAAAGGATAATAAAGGAATACTATGAACTACTTCACACACACGTTGGACAACTTAGATAAAATGGACCAATCCTCAAAAAGCACAAGTTACCACAACTCACTTAATATGAAATAGATAACTTGAATCATCCTATAACTATTAAGGAAATTAAATGTACAATTTAAAACTCCCAGAAATCTCCAAGGCCAGATGTTTTCACAGATTTCTACCAAACATTTAACAAAAATTTCACACCGATTCCACAAAATCTCTTCCAGAAAATAGAGGAGGAAAGAACACTTCCCAATTCATTTTATGAAGTTAGTGTTACTCTGATACCAAAACCAGACAAGACAATATAAAAGAAGAAAACTTTAGACCTCATGAATAGAGATGCAAAAGCCCTTAACAGAACATTGGCAAATAGCATTCAGCAACATAAAAAGAATCACGTGCTATGACCAAGTGGAGCTTGCTCCAGGAGTGCAAGGCTAGGTCAATATTCAAAAATCAGTTGATGTAGCCAACACATTAAAAGCTAAAGAAGAAAAATTGCTTAATCATTATCAACTGATGCAGGAAAAAAATGACAAAATTCAACACGCATTCATGATAAAAACTCCCAGAAAACTAGGAATTTGGGAAACTTCTTCAACATAAGAAAGGGCATCTATGAAAAACCTGCAGCTAACGTTATACTTAATGATTGAAGGCTGAGAGCTTTCTCCCTAAGATATGGGACAAAGCAAAGATATCTCCTTTCACCACTCTAATAGTACTGGAAGTTCTGGCCAGTGCAATAGGCAAACAAAGGACATAGAAGACATAAAGATTGGAAAGGAAGAAATGAAGTTGTCCCTATTTGCAGATGGCATGATTATTTACACAGAAAATTTCAAGAAATCTATAAGAAGTGAGTTCAGTATGGTTGCAGGATCCAAAGTCAACACACAAAAATCAATCATATTTCTATATACTAGGAATGAGCATGTCAATGTTGAAATTAAAAACACGGTACCATTTACAACCACTCGAAAAAATACTTAGGGCCAGGCACAGTGGCTCATGCTTATAATCCTAGCACTTCGGGAGGCCAAGGCGGGAGGATCGCTTGAGGCCAGGAGTTGGAGACCAGCATGGGCAATAGCAAGACCCTGTTACTAAAAAAAAAAAAAAAAAATATTAGCCAAACATGGTGTTACACCTGTAGTCCCAACTATGTGGGAGGCTGAGGCAGGGCTATCGCATGAGCCCAGGAGTTTGAGGTTGCTGTGAGCTATGATCATGCCACTGCACTCCAGCCTGGGCTACCGAACGAGATCCTGTCTCAGGAAAATAAAACAACAACAATTTACATGTAAATTTAACAAAACATGTGCAGGATTTATATGCTGAAAACTACAAAATACTGATGATTGAAATCAAAGAAGATCTAAATAAGTAGCGTTAGATATCATGTTTATGGAATGAAAGACTGGACACTACAGATGTTAATTCTCTCCCAAACGGATATACAATGTAATTGCTGTCAAAAATCCCAGGAAGATTTTTTTAGAGATATAGACCAAATTATTTAAAAATGTACATGGAAATGCAGAGGAATTAGAAGAGCTAAAACAATTTTGAAAAAGAAGAGTGGGAGAAATCAGTCTATGCTGCTTCAAGACTTACTATGTAACTACAGTGCAAGACACTGCGGCATTGTGGAGGGATAGACACAGATCAACGGAACAGAACAGAGCACTCATGAACAGACCCACACAAACATGGCCAACCGATCTTTGACAAAGATGTGAAAGCAATTCATTGAAGGGAGAGGGACTTTTCAAGGAATGATGCTGGAGCAACATCCACAGGAAAAAAACTGAAAAAGAACCTCAACCTAAATCTCACATCTTATATAAAAATTAACTCAAAATGAAAATGTATCATGGACCTAAATGTAAAATGTTCAAAACTATAAAACTTTTAGAAAAACACAAAAGAAAATCTTTAGGCAAAGAGGTTTTAGACTTGAGACCAAAAAAGCATGATCTATAAAAGGGAAATTTGACAATTAGATTTTATCAAAATTAAACACTTTTGCTGTGCAAAGACCCTCTTAAGAGAATGAGAAGACAGGGAGAAAATATTTGCAAACCACATAACTGACAAAGGATTGGTATCTAGAATATATAAAGAACTCTCAAAACTCAACAAAGATCTCTTTTTTTTTTTGAGACAGAGTCTCACTCTCTTGCCTGGGCTACAGTGCTGTGGAGTCAGCCTAGCTCACAGCAACCTCAAACTCCTGGGCTCAGGTGATCCTCCTGCCTCAGCCTCCCAGGTAGCTGGGACTACAGGCACGCACCACCATGCCGGGCTAATTTTTTCTATTTTTAGTTGTTTGGCCAATTTCTTTCTATTTTTAGTAGAGACGGGGTCTCACTCTTGCTCAGGCTGGTCTCGAACTCCTGAGCTCAAGCAATCCTCCCGCCTCGGCCTCCTGGAGTGCTAGGATTACAGGCGTGAGACATCGCGCCCAGCCTAAGGTTTCAATTAGAAAATGGTCAAGCAACACGCTCAGACATTTCACCAAAGAGACTATATACATGTGGCAAATAAGCACATGAAAAGATATTCGACATCAGGAAATGTAAATTATAACCACAATGAGATATCATTACACACCTATCAGAATGGCTAAAATAAAAAACAGCCACAACACCAAGCGCTGGTGAGGGTGCAGAGAGACTGAGTCACACACTGCCGGTGGGAATGTGAAAGTGTGCAGCTGAGATAGGGAACTGGCAGACTCTACTCAATAAGGAGTGACAAGACTTGAACCAAAGTGTCTGATAAAGCAAGAGGCGGTCGAGAAGCAGGCCAAAACTAGGTAGAACGAAGATGTCCATGAAAAATAACCTCAGGTTACCCTCACTGCTCATTATACGCTAGTTATAATACATTAGCATAATAAAAGAAACTCCCAACAGCACCATGACAGTTTGCAAATGCCATGGCAACTCCTGGAAGTTACCCCATATGGTTTCAAAGGGGGAGGGACCCTCGGTTCCAGGAACTCCCCCACCCCTTTCCCAGAAATCCTATGATTAATGCTCCCTCTGCTTAACATAAAATTAAATAGAAGGTATAAAATAAGACCGTGGAAACTCACAAAGTGCTACTCTCTGTTGCTCCAAAAGATAGCTGCTGCTCTGTCTACGGGGCATCCACCTTTCTTTTTTCCTTTTCTTACCTCAATAAACTTGCTTTTGCCTTACTCTGTCAGCTCGCTCTTGAATTCTTTCCTGCACGAAGCCAAGGACCCAGTTGGCCTTGAGGCTGGACCCCAGTTTTGGGGTTCACTTTCCTGGATCACAGCCACTCTCGGAAAGAATTTGGCGGTTTCTTTAAAAATGGAACATGTAACTACCACATGACTCAGCAATTGCACTCCTGGGCATTTATCCCAGAGAAATGGTAATTTGTGTTCACTCAAACACCTGTACATAAATGTTCATAGCAGCTTTATTCGTAAAAGTCAAAAACTGGAAATAGCCCAGATGTCCTTCAATAGGTGAATGGTCAACTGCGGTATATCCAAACTACAGAATACCACTTAGCAATAAAAAGGAACAAATATTGATGCAGTTAACGACCTGGATGAATTTCCAAAGAAATATGCTGAACGAGAAAAATCAATCCCATAGGCTACATGCTATATAGTTCCATTTATATAACATTTTCGAAATGGCAAAATTATAAAAATGGAGAACAGATTAGTGGTTGCCAGGTTCTAAGAGGAATGGGGGAAGGGAGGTGGGTATGACTATACGAGGGCAGCACAAGGGGTCCCGGTGGTGATGGGACGTTGTGTATCTTGACTGTACCAATGTCAATGTCGTGGCTGGGTTACTGTACTATAGTTTTGTAAGATGCTACCACTGTGGGAAACTGGACAAAGAGTGTGTGGGGGTCTCTTTGTATTATTCCTTACAACCGCATGTGCACCTACAATTGTCTCAAAACACAACTTTAATTAAAAATATATCGGAGTGAGTTGGCCAGCCTCCCTCTGACATGCTGGACTGGCTGGTCTGATGCCGCCCGTGGTCCTGAGAGCAGGGCACCGGGATGCGGCCTTCCTCACTGCGGCAGAGCCGCCTCTCCAGTCGCGGGCCACAGCCCCCGACCCTGCTCCCTGGGCCCACATTCCCTATTCCCGGGGCTGCCCACCTTCTCCCAGTTTCTCATGCCTGGGGGTCCAGCCCTTTCTACGATTGGGGACCAGCGGTCGGGACAGCTCACGGGACCCGCTGTGGGGACTGCAAGGCCCTCCAGAAGAGGTGTGCGTGGGCGATGCGGCAGCGTCACTGCCGTGCCGAGCCTGGATTGAAATTCAAGGGCTGCTTTCCCACTGACCAGGGAACGGAGGCGAAGCCAGTGATTTTTCTCCCTCCAAACCAAACTACTTCATAACCCAAACCCACACCCTCTCATAGATGACTGAAGAGAAAAACAAAATGTAGTTAACAGAGCTGATCCTTCGTTTGGTTCACTTCTCTTGCTTACGGAGTGGTTTTGTTTATTCCAAGCATTCCAGTAATGCACTAGAATTCACAGGCTGCAGTGTCCCAGGTCAGGAGGTCTCAGGAGATCTTAGTTACCTCCAGGGAAGGACCCGTGGGAACATGTGACCCTGGTTTGTGGGGAACGCGGCGGGTGGTGACTCGGGGAGGGGCCGGCACCTGTGTCTGTAGCCCCGTAGGACTCTCTGGATGCTGACTGCTGCTCTGTCCAGGGCCTGGCTCCTCTGTATCTCCAGCAGAGTGTCCTGGTAACCCTGGGGACGGGAGAGATGCCATCACGGAGCTGCCCAGCCTCCCCCCACCCCCCAGAAGGCAGTTCCTCTCAGACCTCTCCCAGGAGGGCGACTCTCGGATTGACCTGGATGTGGCTCAGAAACAGGAGCTGCGACACCTCCCCCCTCGGATTCAAGAACTTCCCGCATTAGCTCTTTCTACTTGCTAATTCAACCTGGCAATCTTCATGTCTACTCTGAAGAATCTAAGGGGGCACAGTTCTTTGAATTTGTGTTTTATTTCCCAAAATTCATGCAACATTTGCATTCAACTGTATGAGACCTATGGCTGTTTCTATATAAAAATGTTTCCTGCAACTGTGAGTAGGATTCGGGGTGTGAGCCGATGGGCCTTATTCATCCCTGGGTGTCACTGTGCCCGAGGATGTGACGCGAGGGCCTGCCATCTCAGCCCCGGGCAGCCAGGGGCTGTCTCTGCGGAGCACGGAGCAGTGTGGCCCTCGGCAAGTGGGGAGGAGAGGCTGGGAGCTCAGTGGCCCCTCCCGCCTGCACCAGACTCTGTCACACAGCGTCGAGCCTGGGCAACAGAGACAGACCAGACCCAGCTGTGGCCTCAAGGAGCAGCAGGGACAGGAGGAATGGAGGAGTGGCCACTGTCGTTTCCTTCCTTCCCTGAACATCTGCCCAGACTGACCTCCCCTCTGTGACCCTGTGGTCCTTGCTGTCTGTTTTGCCCTTCAGGTAGTGCCCTGGGGTGTCCCCTCTGCAGGTCTCACCTCCCCGATCAAATCGGAAGCCCTCTGCTTCTTTTCCCTGTCTGAGCCTCAGAGCCCCAGTGCCTGCCTGACTAATGCACGGACAGATGGACAGACAGACCAACTGGAGGGCTGGGGCCAGGAGGTCCCTCTGGGGACAGATGAGGGTGGGTGGGCAGTCACCATGGGGAAGAGGAAGGAACAGTGGGTATGGGGCAGGAGGCTCGGGTGAGCTGGCTCGATCTCTTCTTTCTCTTCCTTCTCCCTGCGCTTGCCCACCTAAGGCTTATGAGGATAGGGGACCGGGGGGCTCTCTCCCTGGTGGCTCTTTGACTCAACTGGCAATCCTGGAGGGCCACGAGGCTGCCTGTGCACGGCCTCAAGCTCCCCGTATGTTGTGGGGGAGGCAGGTGGCGGCGATGTTCATACGAGCCTCCCAGGGATGAGTCAGTCAGCTCACAGGCAGTCAACACACTGCACCCTTCCATGGCCGCGCCAGCTCTCGGAGGGCTCTGGAGAGGCTCAAAGCCCCTGCTGCAGGCCGTGGCTGCTGGCATGACAGAGGCCTCTTCTCAGCACACTGGGAGCCCTCTCTGAGCTCCTTGGTGCTCTCGGGCTGTGACTGGGAGGTGCCTCCTCCTTCCCCTCAGGCTTGTCCTAGTGCAGCGGTCCCCAGCCTTTTTGGCACCAGGGACCAGTTTCACGGAAGACAACTTTTCCACAGACCAAGGGCTGGGGCGGGGATGGTTTCAGGATGATTCAAGCGCATTACATTTATTGTGCAGTCCGATCTCTCTGCTAATGACAATCCGTATTTGCAGCCGCTCCCCAGCGCCAGCATCACCGCTCAGCTCCACCTCAGACCATACGGAGCACGCAACCTAGATCCCCGCACGTGCAGTTCACGGCAGGGCTCGGACTCCCACGTGAGTCTGATGCTGCCGCTGATCTGACAGGAGGCGGAGCTCAGGCGGTGATGGCAGCGCCGGGAGCGGCTGTAAATACAGATGAAGCTTCGCTGCTGCTCACCTCCTGCTGTGTGGCCCGGTTCCTAATAGGCCACGGACCAGTAGTGGTCTGAAGCCTGGGGGTTGGGGACTGCGGCCCCACAGGACCCCTCTCTGAGAGGCTTCCTGGACCCCCACAGGCTGGGCCGGCTTCCCTGGTGCTCTCCCCACCTCGAGTATCCCTAGTATGACTTTCTACACCGGGGCCTCCCCAAGGGCAGGGGCCACGTGCAGCGCAGGAGCTGACCAGCCCAGTGTCTCCAGGAGGCCGCCGGCCGGCTGGGTCCTCAGTGTCTCACCTTCAGGAAAATTTTGGTCCTTCCCACTTTCCAGTCTCTGTCTGTGCCCAGCCACATGTCAGCAATGCCTATGGTCATCTGGCGGAACTTGTCTCGCAGCTGCCGAGGACAGACAGGAATGGCTCAGAGCGTGTCCGAGCAGAGACCCCCGAGGCTGAGGTCTGGGGACCAGTGTCTTCCTCCTCCTCCCCCAGGCTCCGCTGCCAGGGGCTGCCCCGGCACAGGCACAACGGGAACCTCAGGTCAAGGAGTGGGCGAGGGGGCACGTGGGGCCATGGGCTCTGCCGGGCCTGGGGCCTTAATGTGGCTATGGACGCTTGGCCCCAGGTCAGGCCAGACTTCAGGTTGGCTGAGGGTTCAGGCAGAAAAGGAAAGACTTCCCGGCCCTAATAGCTCCCTAGCCACACCTCAGCTCCCTGATGTTCTGCCCCATGGGCGACAGCATTTGCTGTAAGACCACAGACGTGCTAGAAGGAACAGCTGCAGCCGCCAGCATCCACCAGACCCCAGGGTGAGCCGGTGTCCCTGCCGTGTCGCTGGGAGAGCAAGAGGGAAGGGTGGAAGGCAGGGAAGGTAAAGAAGGACGGGGATCATCGCAGACGTGGGGGCCTGGGCATTGTGGGGAGCCCCCTTGTACTGGGGCTGGAGGTGGCTGAGGCGGAGGGGGAGGACACGGACAGGACAGCGCGCGCCATCGGGGGACAATCACACACCTGCATCCCCGCGGCGCTGGGCAGCAGCACGCGGAACCTGTGCGAGAAGTCCTCCAACGAGTAGCGGACGGGGAAGCCCGACTTGCGGATCTTCACGGTCTCCATCATGCCTGAGTAGCGCAGCTGCCGCAGGCACAGCTCCCGGTCGAAGAGCTGTGGGCGACGCAGGGTGACCAAGCGCCAGGTGACCTTGCCCTGGCCGCAGCCACCAGAACACGCAATACTTGCACCACTCTCCAGACAAACACAGTGCCGGGAATGCAAGGTTACTTGCATACGCCCCGTTTACAATGTTCCTAAGCACCCCTCACCTGCACAGGGCCGGCGGGGTGCTGCCCCCGGCACGTCCAGCCCATGGCCCTCCCACACGGCGGGGGAATGAAGACATGACTCTGGCACTCGGAGGCGGAAAATATTCTACTCAGCTTCGTCTCTCCCTTCCCCAAGATGGAAGGACACCTGGAGGAGCAGCTGGCCGGGGAACTGAGTCCTGCCCTGCTTGGAGGCAGGTGTGGCCAGCAGAGAGGAACTTGGGCATGATGCTTCCCCCAGGTGTCTGGCTTCCGCGGTGGCTTGGCCTCTAGAGAGCCCCCCTCCACCTGGAGCTAGGGGTCTCTCGGGGCTCGGGGGAACAGCCCTCCAGTTGGGCAAGCGTGGCAGGCACCTGCAAAACTGAGGGCCACGGAGCCCCTGCTCCAGGGCTCCAGGCCGGGCAGCACTAGCCCCGGCTGAGTGGTCAGCTGCTGTGTATTGACTATGTCCTATGGGCCTGGCATTTCTCGCTGAATCTTTACGACGGCTCTGCGTGGTGGAGATGACTGGCTCCAATTTAAAGATGAGCACCTGAGGTGCAGGTTACTCTCCTGGGGGCTGAGCGCGCCTGGCCCTCAGGCCGGCCCCCTTACACACACATGGCAGGGCAGCTGCCCCCGCGAAGCAACATCCGGGCCAGAGCCCTCCACACCTGAGCATCAGCCTTCGGTGGCAGTCCTGCACTGGGCTCCCACAGCGGGCAGGGCAGGCGGGGCGAGCGTTTCTAGGACCACAGTCACTTCTCCCAGAAGTTAAGGAACAAGAGAAGTCTCACATCTGCCTAAGATACAACCTAGATTTCATGGGACAAACCAAATTTCATGTAGTTTTATTCTTTTCAAAAAGGCATTCCATTTAACGTAATGTAATGTATTCCCTTATAAGATGTTTTCGAGCTGTTTGATATCCTTTCAGATGATATCTCCCATTTTGAGGGGCCCCTGTATTGCAGCCTCTGGGTGGGATTCCCAGCCTACAGAGCAGGGACCCCTGGGCAGGCGGGCAGCAGGCTTCCAACCCCTTACCACACATGGGTAAGGCTGGCTCTCTGAGGGCTGTGCCGTGAGGGGCTCAGTGACCAGGAGTGGCGTCAGCCCCTAAAGTCCCAGTACTAGTTTCTGCCACTTGCTGAGTGCGGTTACACACAGAGACGTGCTGCAAACCCCCCGCCAACTCTCGCTGCACCCCTGCAGGCAGGAGCAAGTCTGACTTTACGGAAGAGAAATCTGAGGCTCAGAGAAGCGAAGAGCCTGGCCTGGCACTCGCAGAAGCTGAACGGCAGGACTAAGAAGACTGACCTAGACTGGTCACCTGACTCCAGTGTCCTCATGTGTCAAGTGGGGGCAGCTAACGGCTGAATAGCGGCCAGGCCCTGGCAGAGGGAGCAACTGCGACCCTAGAGGCCATCGGCCTCATCCTCCTCCCTCCCCACCTGTGCCCCCAGCCTTCTCCTGTTACCAGCGGCTTCTTGTACTCGTTGGGTTTGATGCAGCGGATGAAGTAGGGCTGGCAGTTGGTCAGGATTTTCATCAGCTTGTCCAGGGACTGCTTGAATTGGCCTGCCAAGGTGGAGGGCTGCTTGGCTGAGTCTGCAGACTGCGGGCAGAAGCACAGGGCACAAGTGGGGCCTGGGGACCTGCCACCTGGGACATGGCTGACCCACACCACAGCGAGGGCTCCTGCCAAGGTCCACCCATCTACCCATCCAGCTGTCACAAGTTTCCCAAGTGCCTGCAGTGCACAGGCCCCAACTGCAGGCTGGGGACCCGGAGGTGAGTAGAATATCTGCCTGGCCCTGTGGCCCTCAGGGCTGAGAGACGCAGGAGCCCACCTTGAAGAGCTGGCTCCCTGCCTTTGCCTGGCGGATGGTCCCGTGGCCCAGCTTGGTCTCTGCCAACTCCAGATTGAATATCTCCCTCAGGAACTTATTTTTGGAGGAGTAAACCAGGGTGAGGATATCTGTGCTCAGCACATCTCGGTTCTTCTCCAGGAAGCCTGTGGGGACAGCAAGGCCCACCCATCAGCCCAGCTCAGCCAGTACCACCCACCCACTGGGAAGAAGAGGGCAGTGGGGTGGGTACACGGGATGCCCAGAGGAGCCCCAACCCCGCGATGGCCCCACTGAAGTCAACACTCTCTGCCCCTCCACCCAGGCACGGCCCCACCATCTTACCCAGCACCAGGTTGCTTCTACTATCTGAACTCTCAGTCCCCCGTCCCCATCCCTACTCCATCCCCCCATCTAAGCCACCATCATCCTTCTGCTTCTGGGACCTTGGGAGTTCCTGCTAGGGCTGGAGGCCCCTCTGGCCTGAAGGCTGAGCCTCCGGAAGTGGGGGAGGGACAGTGTTATAGGCTGAATTATGTCCCCCTAAAATTCATATGTTGAAGCCCTAACTCCCCATACATCAGAACATGACTATATTTGGAGACAGGGCCTTTCACAAGTTGATTAAGGTAGAAATGAGGCCATTAGGGTGGGCCCTAATCCAGTATGACTAGTGTCATTGTAAGAAGAGATTCGGACACAGACACGCACAGAGGGAAGGCGATGTGAGGACACAGTAGAACAGAGCCCTCAAAAGGGCCCAACCCTGCCCACATCTTGATGTCGGACTCCCAGCCTCCAGAACTGTGAGACAGGAATTTCTGTTGTTTAAGCTGCCCGGCCTGTGGTATTTGTCAGCGCAGGCCTAGCGGACTATGCAGGCATGGCTCCAGGGGGTGAGAGGACCCCACTTCTCCCTTCTAGCTATGGGTAAGCATGGCCTAGCCATGGAGTAAGGACGAGGTCACACTGAGAAGGCGCTGAAGGTGAACTGCTTCCCAGAGCCAGGTTAGTTGGGGCCAGGGCTGCACTTCTTGGTTGTTGAGGGCTGACCCCCAGGGCATGACCTTGACTTTCCTCTTCTACTCTGCCCCATTTAAGTCACCCCACCTTTTAGTGGCACGTTCTGTGCGCACCTGCACAGCCCGGTAACGGTCTGGGGAGGCTGAGCTGGGGTGGGAGAGGGGAAGGGAGCCTGGTTCCCATCTCTGCCTGCAGGTGCCTGTGAGGGGAGCAGCACCCAGGGAGGGAGGGCTGCACCAGGTGCTGGGCGGGGCAGACACTCGTCCGTGACACCCTGCACCTCTGAGATCAGACGGAGCCTCCCGCACCCTGGGGCAGGCAGCTCCTGGGGTGTTCTCAGGGCAGGGGAGGACTGAGGCACCCCTGGGCTTAGTCTCCAGCAGGCAGAGTAAGTGCAGCTGAGGTCATCAGCACAGCCGGGCACCCCAGGTAAGAACCAGAGGCTTAGTTTTAATGGATATTTCCAGCATTTTACAATCAGAAAATCTAGAAAGAAGCTACCTCAATCATAGCATACATGTAAGTTTCATGTCACTTCAAAATATGAAATGCAGCCTTGAATTGCCCAGGGAGGTTGGGGGACGGGCTCAGTGTCTTCTTGTGTCCTGGGACCCTGCAGGCCCCACTGGTTCTGGCCTCTCCCTTTCTGAAGACCCCAAAGCCAGGATCCGGCAGGAACTGTGCATTTCTCCCCCTGACCTCCTGACATCTCGCGTCTTCTACACAAGCGAGCAGTTCCTGCACACAAGGACCATGCCTGGATCCGTGCCTCCAGTTAAACAGACCAAGCGCCTCCTCATTCCTCCGCACGAGCCGCAGAGAGTAGCCCTCCCGCCTCTCGGCTTTCCTGGTCACAGCAGCACACTGGCCACCCTTCTCATTCTTCTAAGCACACCAGTAGGTTGACCACACCAGGCCTTTATTTCTCCAACCAAAATCATTACTGAGCCTCCCTCAACACATCCAAAGCTTAACTCAAAATAAGTCAAAGACCTAAATGTGAACGCTAACATTAAAAAACTCTTAGAGGAAAACACAGGGGGTAAATCTTCATGACCTTGGATTTGACAGTGAACTCTTAGATATGGTATAAGTAACAAAAGGAAAATAGTGAAGTTGGACTTCTTCAAAATGAAGACCTTTTGTACTTCAGAGGACACCACCAAGAAAGTGAAAAGATAATGAACAGGATTAGAACATATTTATAAATCTCTGATAAGGCTCCACAATATATAACCAACTCCTACGGCTCAACAATAAAAAGACAAATAGCCCAACTAAACCGTGGACAAAGGATTTAAATAGATATCCCTTCAAAGAAGATATACAAATGGCCAGGAAGCTCATGACAAGGTGCTGGACATCATAGCCATTGGGGAAATGCAAATCAAAAGCACATTGAGACACCACTTCGAATCCACTAGGATAGCTGTAATTGAAAAGGCAGACGATCACGTGTTGGCGGGGATGTGGAGGAATTGGAACGCTCATACATTGCTGGTGGGAATGTAAAATGGTGCAGCTGCATGGAAAACATTTTGGTGATTACTCAAAAGGTTAAACATAGAGTTACTACCTGACCCAGCAATTCCAGTGCTAGGTGCGTACCCAGGAGAAGTGAAAACATACGTCCACACAAAAACTTGTACATGGATGTTCATAGCACCATTATACATAATAGCCAAAAAGTGGAAACAACCCAAATGTCTATCAACTAATGAAGAGATAAAGTATGGTATATCCATGCTATGGAATATTAATCTGCAATAAAAGGTACTGACACATGCTACTACATGGATGAACCTTGAAAACATTGTGCTAAGTGAAGGAAACCAGTCACGGAAGCCCACATATTGTGTAGTTCCATTTATATGAAACGCCTAGCATAGGCAAATCCACAGAGAGAGGAATTAGTTGTTGCCTAGGGTTGGGGAGAATGGGGAGTGACTGCTGATGGGTATTTTTGGGGAGGTGATGAAAATGTTCTAAAATGGTGGCAATCATGAATACACACTGTGAATATACTAAAAACCATTGAGTTGTACACTTAAAATGGGTGAATAAATATGTGAATTATATATATTCACAATTATATATCAATGAGTATGTGAATCGTATCTCAATAGAGTTATTACCAAATATTAAAAAAAAGTGCCTGGTCTATCCTATTTCCTTTCTCCAGTAAAGGCCACACTACTTATTCTTCTGCCCCATTGCTAGATCTGCAAGACAACCTCGTCCCCTCCGCCTGCTTTCCATGGTCCCCCTGGAATCTGATCCAGATTTGGAAGCTGTGAGAGGGGCCGCACTCGCCTTCTGCCTGGTAGTACACCTCGCCGGCAAAGTGGGCGATGCCGAACCTGGCATCGTGGATGTTCTTGGGCTGCAGGAAGGCCTTGTTGTTGGCGTGGACACGGTTCAGTTTTTGCAGCATGGTGATATCTGTGCCCTGGAAGAACCCAGACACCCTATGGGCTGAGGCCCCAGAGTCCAGCCACGAGAGGTCAGGCTGCCCACCTACACGCATAGGGCTTAAAGCAGCCTGGGCTCAGAGTGACTGAGGGCCTCTGCACGGGCAGGAGACCAACACGCAGGGGTCAGTGACTTATGGCGGTGGGCGAGGGCTGGGCTGGGAGCAGAGGCCACCAGCTGTCCTGCTTCACCCTCCGTACAGCTGTCCAGGTACCCCAGCAATCAGGGAAGCCTTCCTGCGGAAGGTGGGCCTGAGGCAGCCTTGAAGGAAAGGAGGGTCTGGTTAGGCTGGGGCTCTTCTGCTTTCCCTTGGCAGAGCTTCTGGCAACTTCAGGAACAAGTGGGCCACCCAAATGGAGTTTTCCAACCTTGAGGAGGAGACCTACGAGCAGGGGTCTCCATGTTAAGCTCGGCAGCCCAGATGCACACCTGTGGGAAGCGGCTCTCTTCGTCCAGGAGGGAGATGATGCTCACGGGCTGGAGGGCCAGCAGGTCGAGGGTGGGCCGATTGTCAGTGTAGTGGATGTAGTCCCAGGCAATGCCCTCCGAGCGGTACTCCTCCTGCTCCATGGTGAACACGTGCTGCACGAAGAACTGCTGCAGGTGCTCGTTGGCGAAGTTGATGCACAGTTGCTCAAAGCTGTGGAGGCAACGCCACCGCCCAGGGTAGAGCGGGGTCAGCTTGGGCCCCGCTGCAGCATGCTGGGCGGTGGGATCACCAGCCGCCCACGCACGACTGCATGTGATATGCCCAGAGACGCACATCATGCACCGTGCGGGCTCTGTATCACACGGCCACACCTCCCCACACACCCGCCCTCCTCCCCGCCTCTGTTACCCTGTTACCGTCACCTCCCCCACCCCGAGGCAAGCAGACTAAGAGAAACGAGAAGGCTCAGCATATCATCAAGTCCTTGCCTTTGGCTTCTGGTGATCCTGAGGGGAAAATGCAAGCTCCCCACCACACAGCAGAAGCAGTGCGCTCAGCAGAATTGTCACAAAGTAGGTTAAACAAGTACCAAGATAACACCCGGCACAGGGTAAAGGCCCAGCACTCTTGCCTTGAAGTGGCTGGCTCACGTCGGCCCTGACTGCTCTAGTGCTGCTTTGACTGTCCTGTAGCGCCCTTGAGCTAGCTGTCACACTAAAACCTCTGCCTAGTGGAGGATGATACCATTAACACAATGCAGGTTGTGTGGCCGCAAGTGACGATGGCACTGCTCGTGCTTGATTTATTTCACCGTGAACATACAATGACACGACGTAAGAGCTCCGTGTCCCTCACTGGGAAGGGATTTAAGGCAACATCACAGTGCGGATGTGCACTGTGCCCACCAGAAAGCTCCCGCGGAAGGAGTTCCTGTGCTGCCGGGAGCCGCTAATAAACTCACCCAACTCGCCAAGCTGCACCGTCCGCGTCATTCTCAGAGACGGAGTCTCTCAGCTCTATCTCGGTTCGCGGGATGGTTTTTCTGTACTATCCCGGGATTTTCCCAAAACAGATCCCCTGCAGGGTCCTCTGCCAGGCCGGCCTGTCCTGACACCGAGACCATCCTTGTGGGGCCGAGAGCACATGACAGCCCCAGCCGCGTGGGCAAGGTGACCTCGGTGTTGATACAAGCTTCCAGAGACCCAGGATTGACTGCCTGGCCCCTCTGCATGGACCAGACATACTCCCTATCCCCCACTCCCCCACCCTCCAACCTGCTCTCCGTCCTGGCTCCTTGCCTTGGGAAATGGCCCTGCATCCACCACCCCTGGCTCAAGTCAGAGACCAGGGTGTCACGCTTGGCAGCTCTCTGTGCCTCCTCCCCAATTCCCATCTGCTGCTGAAGTCTGGTGCATGCTTTCTCCAACACAGAACCCGGCCTGTTCACTTCTTTCCACCCCCTGCTGCCACCTGAGCGCAGCCTCCTCTGCTCACTGGGCACACTCACGACCTCACAGCTCTGCCCCCTCCAGCCTCGCCCCGCCTGTCACTCTCACGCGGCCACTAGGGGGCGATTTCTGACGTGCAAATCTGGTCACACTCTTCCCTGTTCCAAATCCTCCCGGTTTCCCTTGTCTTCAGGATCCAGACAGTGACCACCGCAGAAGGCCCTGCCCGCCTCTGCAGCCCCACCCTTGCTGCTCTCGACTCCTCACGGCACTCCCAGTGCACCGGCCCCTTCCTCCCTCTGGGTCTGCACGCATGGGTGCCTCCCTCCTTCCCTGTCACCCGGCTAGCTGTGCCCATCTCTGGGGCCGCCCTAGGCAGAGCCTCCTCAGGATGGTCGCCCAGTTAGGCAAGTCCTCATCATACTTCCCACTGTTTGTTCAATGTCTCTTAACCCAAGAAGCGAGGGGATAGGCCAGCTGTGTCCCCCACACCCAGCGTATGGCCTGGAGCCGCTCAGTGAGCACATGCAGAATGCATGACCAAGGGAGGGACGCAGTGCAAGCAGCTCCTCCTTCCCAGGCCCCCAGGCTGCAGCCCCCGCACAAACCTAGCTGGTGGCTACTGATGGCTACTGATGGCCTTCCTTCAGGGAGGGGTCCCTGCATACATGGCCCCATCTTCCAGAACCAACCACTGATCCACCTCCAAAGAGTCCAAATGTGCATGGTCAGCTCACCTGTCCCTCCCAGGGCTCGACACCAATGCCCTGAATCCCACTTGAGTTCCCCATGCCTTAGGCTAAGTTCTGCCGCCCTGCCGCCCCCCACCTGACCACAGCGCGCAGGCCCCTGGGAGGCTGAGGTCCCAACCTGCTTGCACTCGAAATGGCTACGTCTCAACAATCCTGGCTCTCCCAGGAGGGCTTCTAAATCACTCCCAGGCCATACTTCATCTGCAGACAGGTCCTTGAGCCCTGGGATGCCAAGGTCAGGCTGGTCCCCTAGGCTCCTCAGACAGTGCCCAGAGGCTTCTGCTTCTTGGGGACATGGGCCCAGCCTCTGTCCTGCCAAGCCTTTTAAATGAACCAGGCTCAGGTAAGCTGGATTGCATCCAGAACACTGCCTGCCTGCTTGTCCCACAGCCCTCATTTGACACTCCTGATGCACGACGATGCCCGGCCCATTGCCTGGCCTGGTGTGGCTCCTTCACTACCCTTGTCTACCCCATCCCCAGCCTCTACTACGGTCACATCTGGTAGCAATTTTCTGACCTGCCTCCAGGTGACAGCTCTTCAGCATCCAGTCTGGGGTGCTGGACACTGGGTCAGAGAAGTCCTGCCTCGCCTTACCCACCAACTCAAATGTGACGATGATCCACAAACGCCCCAGCTCCCCCACTCCCTGTTATGATAGCCCACCCAAAGTTGCAGCCAAATCGTGGTTACTGATTTCCATTTTCACCCTGACCTCATGTAACAGTTCACTCTGGCTCATGAGGAGAGCAGATGGCTCAAGAGGAGTGACAAGGGGTCTCTCTCAGGGATGACTTTTAGCTCTGTGGCCTTCTCTAGATGTGCTGGGGACACTGTGGATAGGCATGGGCTGCCTCGTGCAGAAAGACCCAGGCCTGCTCACAGCCTCATCCTGGCCTGGGCTGGGGGATCGCCACCCTCTAGCTCACTCAGTTATAGGAGAGCAGGTGGACTGAGACTTTAGATCTTCATACCTATTGTTCTGGAAATTTTCAAAGCCAAATATGTCCAGGAGGCCGATGGCCTTCCGCACATTTTTGGGGTCCTGGGAAAGAGGTGTGAAGATTGCAGTGTTGATCTTCTTGACGATCCACAGGAACAGGTGTCCATAGATGCCCTGGGGAGACATGGGGTGAGGCCCCGGCTTTGAGGCACAGGAGGAGGCTGCCCCTCTCCAAGTTCACCTGGGGACACTGTGTGCAGAACAGACGTCACGGACCTGCTGAGGGATGTTATCCCTATCCTATTTTTTTCTTTTCTTTTTTTTTTTTAAGACAGAGTGTCGCTCTGTTGCCTGGGCTAGAGTGCCATGGAGTCAGCCTAGCTCACAGCAACCTCAAACTCCTGGGCTTAAGCGATCCTTCTGCCTCAGCCTCTCAAGCAGCTGAAACTACAGGCATGCACCACCATGTGAAGCTAATTTTTTCTATATATTTTTAGTTGTACAGCTAATTTCTTTCTGTTTTTAGTAGAGATGGGGTCTGACTCTTGCTGAGGTTGGTCTCAAACTCCAGACCTCAAGCGATCCACCCACCTCAGCCTCCCAGAGTGCTAGAATTACAAGCATAAGCCACCGTACCCAGCCTGTTATCACTACTCTAGAAGCAAGAAACCGAGGCACAAGAGGCTAGGAAGCCCAAGGTCAGTGGGCAAGTGACTAGCAGGGTTGGGACCTGCCCAGAGATCTCTGCTCCTTCCTGCTCTCTGCCAATAGCACAAGGAGCCGGGCCCTGCTCCGGCAGCTCTGTACCTTGGCAAAGGCATCCCTCCGGTCTGCAGCCTGGGCGATGTTCAGGGGCCTGGTGACATACTCCCCACAGATGAGGATGGTGTGCTTGATCAGGCAGTCCCGGAGCGCCTGGTGCTGCACCTGGGAAGGCAGGTGGGGGCTGCGGGGCACCTGTGGAGCAGGTCCTGGCCCAGGACTCCCATCTGCTTCTGCTGTGTCTTGTTCCCTCTCATGTCCAAACACCCTACGCCCAGGCCCTGAGGGTGGACAGTGCCCGAGATCAGGGCCAGGCTGGATCCAGGCAGAACCAGGGCCCTGGGAGCTCTGAGGCACAGAGCATTCGGGAAGGATGTCCCAGCTCGGGGGGCCCAGTGTGCTGGTCTCCTGGGGGCTAGAGAAAGGGTTGGTGCCTTGGAAAGCTAGGATCAGGGAGGCCTGAGGCCCGGCCTCTGGTAGGCCCCAAGCGCAATCACTCCCGCCCGGAGGCTGAAGGCCGAAGGCAGCAAGGGGAGCGTGCATGGCTGGAGCCTGCCCACCACGCGGGGAAGGCGGAGCCGCCAAGCCCAAAGGTTCTAAGTACCCTTGAACCACGTGAAGAATGTTAACAGCAAAATGTGCCTCATGTGATTGCTTTTTCTGTTTTTTGCTTCTGACTCCATTAATTTTCCACCAGAACTGTCCATGGACAAGGTGCAGAGGACACGACCGTGTCGCCAGCACAGATGTCTCTCCCCACACAGCTCCTGCCGCCCTTCCTCCGCGGCGAGGCTCACGTGGTGTGGGTCATGATGGGGAGGGCTGATGGGCCGCAGGCTCCTCGGCACGTCCCACATCCCAGAATAGCACAGCTCCCGGGAGGCCCTGGGCACGAGGCACAGGCAGGGCCATCCTGATGGGTGTTGGGTTACTGGGTGGGGTGGAGGGCAAGGACACCAAGTTAGGGCCACTACCCAGCAGGAGGGGACACAGGGAAAGGAAAAGCCAAACTGGCCTTCTGTTGTCTGTCACTGACCGGCTGGCGCCGCCCTGACGCCCCTCTCAGGGCACAGGGGTTGAGCTTAGAGCCTGGGAGATGGATGGGGCCCGGGATAGGGTTACGACAATCAGGTGTCAGGGGTCTGTCAGCCCAGGCCCCTGGAGACCCTCATAAAAGTGGAGGCTGGTAAACACCACAGCCCTACCTCCAGTAACTTCGTCACAGCTGGAAAGGCGGGTGTCTCCATCACGTCTGAGGAATCCAGGTTCTCGAAGACCACAGCTAGGGAGAGAGGCCGGAACCCTGAATGGGGAAGCAGCCTGGAGCCATGGGACAGAGGCCCCTGAGGCCCGATGAGAACATCCACCCCAGGCTAGCAGTAGCTGGAGGACCTGCGTTTACCAGGCACGCTGGGCACTCTGGCTAGAAGGCGCGTGCTCACCAGAGTGGCCTCCGGCCTGGAGGAGACTCAGGAACGTGGGGCCGAGGAAGGCAGCAGGCATGAGAGAACGCAGACAGTGAGATCCCACGAACACAACAGCTAGAGCAGGCAAAGCTAAACGCTGCCTGGGGACTCCGTAGGTAACAGAAAGGTAAGCAGAAAGCAAGGCAGCAATCTCCGTAACAGGAGGGAGGGTGCTTTACCTCCGGTGGAACGAGCAGTCTTAGCAAGAAAGGGCTGCGGGGGACCCGGGTGTGGGAGGGTCTCTGTTTGGCTTCAGTGGTGGCTACTTGGATGGCTTCATTTATTACAACATACCTTTGTGTTTTTTGCACTTTTTTATCTGTTTACTTTCTTTCACAACTTTTTTAAGTTAAAAAAAAATCAAAAATGCCCCCCTCGAAGCCTGGCAGTCTGTGCCAAGGTGGACTTTGTTGGCTCAAAGAGGAGGAACCGGAAGTCGAGAGACGGGTCAGCAGATACCGCGGTGGCACTGGGCCTGGCTTACAGCGGCCCGTGCTGCTTCCCGTGACTGAATGAATAAACGATGCCCAGCTGTGGCGGCAACGCGACGGAAGGAGGCTGGTGGCTCATCTTCCAGCGCCAGTGCCTCTCGGGTCCCCCGTTTAGACTTCTCCCCCAAGATAGGCCCACATTTCTTCAAACTCCCCTTCACCCTGGGGCCCTGGTCCCTTCAGGCAGAGGCGCCACTGTCTGCCACATCCGTCTGCAGCTGAGGACCTGGGAGAGGCAGCGGCCCACACCCAGGGCAGTCGTCGCCACGCCTGGATTTGTGAATGCCGCAGAGACTCCCACTCCTCCTGCCCCAGCCCCTCCACCCTTCCGCCCGCGGCAGAACCAGCGTTACCCATAAACTCCACGTTTCCCAGGTGGAGAATGGCGGCCAGCAGCTTGCTGAGGTCCCAGTTCTCAGAGTCGGAGAACTGGAGGATCTTCATGGCCGAGCAGACGTGGGTGTAGTCCTTGGCGTCGCTGAGCCCCTCGCAGGAGGTGCAGTTCCCCTGCGGGACAGGGCACCTCAGCTCATCCTGGGGCCAGCAAGGCTGAACGCCTCCAGGACGCAGCCAGAGGCCCCTGAGAAGTCACACTTCACAGGCTCTGGGTGGACCCTGCAGGGCCGCATCAATGCCCGAGCTTGGAAAATACATAAAAGTTCTTCCAGAGGCAGAATCACAGTGGCGCGGCCACAGAGTGGTCGGCCTTGCAGCTGGCACTGGCACTTGGCCACCTGGGAGCTGGGCCAAGCCATTCCGAGTCCCTGAGCCTCTATTTGTCATCTGCTGATACTTGAGCCTGCCTTGTCTTTGGGAATAGCGTGGGCTCCTTCCTTTAGCAAATACGTCCCAAAGCCACTGGTCCCAGCCTGGGCTTCTTCCCGGAATTCAGAAATGGGGAGGCCGGCCCTGCCCCGGCGCTGCACATCGCATCCAGGAGGGCAGGAGGGAGCGAATGACCATGTCATGGGCTGTTACAGGTGCCCAGACAGAGGTGGCCGGGACCAGCCCTGTGGAGAAGTGAGGGACGGCTTCCAGGGCAGGGGGGCGGGGAGGGAAGGCCATGAGGCAGGAGGTGGGGCGAGCCAAGGGGAGGCTCGGGTCAGCTTTGAGAAGGGAGAGGCTGGAGAAGGGTTGGATCATGGGGGGCTTGGAATCCACACCCGGGAGCTCGGACTGTACCCCACAGGCCACAGGAGTCACTGCAGCATTGTCATCGGACACATGACACCATCAGATTCGCACTGTGGGAAGAGCCTTTTGCTGCTGGGTGGGCAATGGATTAAAGGTCAGAGACCTGTGAGGACGCTGCTGCCACGGGCCAGGCGGGGCTGGTGAAGGCCTTGGGGTGGGGACCCAGGGAGATTGTCACCTGGGAGAGATATCCCTAGGCGACCACTTGCTCTCCCTAGCCTGAGCAGTGGCTGCCCGAGGTAGTAGGTGAAGCTGGGAGAGAGCAAGGCCCTGAATCCCGGGGCTTGTGTTCTAGGGGCATCTACAGGGACGATGATCAGAGTGAAATCGAGGCAGGGGTGTGTGGATGACACCCCATGACCCACTGAGCACCAGAAGCCTGTCATCGAGCAGGAATCAAAGGAAGATGAGGTTTGTGGGGAAGGACCAGGTCCAGCTTGGGGCAGGGGGTCCATGTGACACAGGGGGCGAGTAGGCAGAGTGATTCCCAACACAAAGGGCTGCTGGGGAGGGAAGGGAGACCCCAGACCCACCTAGGGAGCTTCTCTGCAGCAGTCACCCAGGGCTGCGCAGCATCGGCCCTCCTCCCTCCCTCTCCTTGCTGGTTGAGAGCTGAGGCTCACCATGGTCAGATAGCGGTACTCTGAGGGCGTTCCCAAGCACAGCAGCTCCTTGTCCTCCGCACGCATCCCCAAGAGCATGCAGTAGAAGATGTGGTAGTTCCGCTCCTCTGGGGCCTGGAAAGCAGGTGTTGCAGACACATTTGTGAGCAACTCCCCGGGGGGCTCCTGCTGCCTCCTGCCCAACACTGTCCTGGCGGAGCTTACTGGTCAGATGTGACTCTGGAATCGGCCCACAGGCTGCCAGCCTCAGGCCTCACCCTAGGCCCCCAAGACCAGCTCACCCCCTGTGAACACACCACTGCCAGATGTGGCCCGCATCTCCACTGCTCCCCACGGAGGGCTGGACAGCGGCCACGCAGGGTCCGGGCTCTCTGCTCACAACCCCACACTCGTCACGGTCACTTAGTGACATCACGGAGTTACCTAGGCCTTCCTTCTTTTTGTTTTTTTTTTTTTTTTTTTTGAGACAGAGTCTCGCTTTGTTGCCCAGGCTAGAGTGCCGTGGCGTCAGCGTAGCTCACAGCAACCTCAAACTCCTGGGCTCAAGCAATCCTCCTGCCTCAGCCTCCCGGGTTGCTGGGACTACAGGCCTTAGCCACCACACCCGGCTAATGTTTTTGTTTGTTTTGTTTCTATTTTTAGTTGACTGGCTAAATTTTTTTTCTATTTTTAGTAGAGACAGGGTCTCGCTCTTGCTCAGGCTGGTCTCGGACTCCTGACCTCAAGCGATTCTCCTGCCTCAGCCTCCCAGAGTGCCAGGATTACAGGTGTAAGCCACCGCTCCAGGCCCCTTCCTTATATTTTAACACTATTTACAAATACATTCTCATTATAAAAATCCAAACAATCTGAAGTATATACAGCAGTGTTAAAAGATGAGTGTTTCTTTCCACCCTACCTTCCCATCCTCAAATTCCCCCCCTGTCCTCCCCAGAACCACTCGAGGGTCTGTGTTCATTTCTAGATATTTTAAATGCATTTACTTATAGTATATCTATAAAAAGTTCTTTCTTTTTTTCACAAAAACATATTTTTTGTTCTGCAACTTCCTTTTTTTCCTTCTAAACATGTCTCTTGGCAACCCTTCCACATCAACACCGGCAGGCCTCCTCCTTCATAACTGCGCCAGCATCCCATGGCACAGATAAGCCGTAATTCTTAAATCTGTCTCTTAACACAGGCAGGGCTAGTTTCTCACCTGCTCTAGAAATTTCCTGCCCATTTTGGAGTATCATTTTGGGTGACAAGTTCTGTGAATTCACCCAGCACTGTGTGAAGAAGTACGAGCTTCTGGAAACGGCAGACTTTGGAGTCTGAGGGACTACTGCCACGTTCTAGCTCCGTGACCCTTGACAAGCGACCTAACTTACCTGGACGCAGTTTCTTCATCTGCACAGTGGGGACAGGAGATCTACTTCTCATGGTCGTGAAGATCAAATGAGACAATACAGGGGACATGCCTGGCACCGGGTGGGGGGTCACCAAACGTGAGCTTCCTTCTCAGCTCTCCGCAGTGCCGCAGCATCTGGCCACCCTCACACACAGCCCCAGCCCCTCTGTTGGTGGCGTTCCCCCCTGACCTTCCTGTGTGTGTGTGTGTGCGTGCGCGCTCACATGCATGCACCTGTTAGGTGTCATACCATCACTTAAGAGCACCCTCACAAGCAGGGGCGTTAATTCTGCTGTCATGTGTGCCACACATCCGGGTCCCTGCCATTTGCGATTGGCTATATGATTGGCCCAGTGCAAAACTAAATCATGGGGCCTTTAGCTAAAAAGTTAGTAAGAATTTCAAGATGGCACAGCAGAGCACTAAACCAAACATGGGCCCCTTCTGGGCATAGGCCAGTGTGACAGCACAGACCACGTGCCACCACATTCCCTGTCCACGGGCCTTTTGGACACTACTATCTAGCTCCGCCTGCCACGGTCCCGCAAACTGAAGACACAGCCCTCCCTCAGATGGGAACTAGCCCAGCCTCAGAGTCAGTTCCAGTAGGGTTGAGCAGTGGTAGCACCAAGGAACGAAGAAAATCGTATGGATGAAAAATGCCAAACTGAGAAAATCCTGTCACTTGTTTTCCTGGAATACTGGAGAGGGACCACCATTGTCCAGTGAGGGCTGTAGGGAGGGGTGAGCATAGTGGACAGGGACCCCCTTGGAAGCCGCCTCCAAGCCCCCGACTCCTGCGTGGAGGCCTCACCTGCCGGCAGACGCGGGACTTCTCCAGGAGAAACTGCTCAATGCGCGCGCCCTCGATCACCCCGCTGAGGTTGAAGTAGATGTCGATGTACTTCCCGAAGCGGCTCGAGTTGTCGTTGCGGACTGTCTTGGCATTTCCGAAGGCTGAGGTGAGCGGGCAATGCCCATGATGAGGGCCGAGAACAGAAAATTTACTTTAAGGGGCTCATCAGGGAAGGCTTCTCAGAAGAGGTGGCCAAGCCCAGAAGTGAAGGATGGGTAGAGTTGCAGCAGATGGTGGTGGCAGCCAAGGGCATGCTAAGGGGAAGGCAAAATGCAGGTTCCGGGGTCAGAACGCATGCGGTGCACTTGCAAGGGGGAAAGTTGGCCAGAGTTTAGGATGCAGGAGGAAGGCAGTGGAAGGCAGATAGAGCTGGTCAGTAGGTGGGGCCAGGTGTCACAGAGCCTTGAATGCCAGGCTCAGAAATTGGGAATTAGTTCTGCCAGTGATGGGGGAAATAGGAAAGCGAGAGAGTATGGGAACAGATTCCCAGAGGCTTTAGAAAGATGGCTCAGGCTGCAGGGTAGAGGCTGGGATGCAGAGGGCAAGCTTGCAGGGACAGTGGCAAACGCTGGCCCAGGCCAGGGAACAGATGAGGTGGTCAGATCAGGAGGTGTTTGGGTTGCAGCATGATCCAAAAAAGTGTTTTTTGTAAAGCTGTTTCTGCAAGCTTCTCTTATGTGATCCACAGTAAGAAAGATATTTTGCAACATGTCCTGGTATGTACACACCTCCACCTGCACACACATAATTCAAACAAAATAGTACCAGTTCTTACCAAGAGCAGTGGGTTAGAGTATTTTCATTTTATTTTTATTTTCTTTTCTTTCACCACTTGCTTTTGAACATAGATTTATTTTTTCATTTTATTTTTATTTTGGTTGGAGTATTTTCTATTCTATGATACTTCATTTGCTCTAGAAGAGACTGACTTAATGACCCATTAACGGTTGGGATGCAGTTTGGAAATACCACATCCTGCATTAGTCTCATGACACAAAGGAACAGAGTTCCTCGGGGACATCGGCTTAGGGAGCACCGCACTCCGTCTCCCTCCCAAGGAACCCCAGTGTGCCACAGAGCCTCTGGGAAGAGCCACAGGTTTTCAACTTGTTGAACCCAATGTGGCCATCTCGAGAATGACTGGTCAGCTGCCTCTTTAAGAAAGAACTGGATGTGGGCAATTATTTTGCAGTAATCGACAAGCTGATTTTAAAATATACTGTATATGGAAAGGCAAAGGACCTAGAATAGCCAAGTTTGAAAAGAAGAACAAAATAGGAGGTCACGTGCTATCCGATTGTAAAACTTCCTACAAACTACAGAAATCAAGACAGTGCAGTGTCGGCGAAAGGACAGACAGACAAACAGCACAGCATGGAGGATCTGGGAATAGCCCCACCCATGTACGGTTAGTTGATTTTAGACAAAGGAGCAAAGGCAAGTCAATGGAAGAAAAAATAGTCTTTTTGACAAATAGGGCTGGAACAATGGGATATCCACATATAAAACAGGAGAGAGAGACGTAGAGTGAGGGAGAGAGTCTCCCCGTACCTTGCACCCTATAAAAAATTGGATCATAAACCTAAATGTAAGAATTAAAAACTACAAAGTATCTAGAAGAAACATAGGAGAAAATCTTCAGGTTAGGCAAAGATTTCTCAGATAGAACACAAAGAGCATGATCCAGAAAAGGAAAAAATGATAAATTGAACTTCACCAAAATGTAAAACTTCTGCCCTGCCAAGGACGCTGTTAAGAGAATGAAGAAACAAGCCTCAGACCGGGACACGGCATTTGCAAAACACACGTCTTACACAGGCCTTGTATCCAGAATAGAGAATCCTTAGACTCATTAATAAGGAAATAAACCAGTTAAAAAATTGGCAAAGGATTTGAACAGACACTGCGCCCACTTCACCAGAGAAGACACACAGAGAGGAAACGGGACCTGCAAGGCCACTCCACGCCACCAGCCAGCAGGAAACAGCAGGACGGCGCCCACAGGTGTCAGAGCGCGCACGATCTCCTTGGCTGTGCCAAGTGCCAGTGAGGACGCAGAGCAACTGGAACTGTCCTGCTCTGCCGGCGGGAAAGCAGAATGGCGCAGTCCTCAGAAAAGCACCGCCACTTAGTCAGTTTCCCACACACTTGAAGGGCCAACTTACAAATGCATATTTATCTGAGAGAAAAACGCGTGTTTACACAGAAGCCTGTGGGTGAATGTTTATAGAGGCTTTATTCATAATTGCTAAAAACTATGAACAGCCCAGATGCACGTCAGTTGGTGAACAGACAACTGCAGCACCTCGTGAAACGGACCCTGCTCGGTGTTGACGGGAGTGAGCTGTCGGCACAGGCAACGTGGAAACGTGTCGCGCTAATGAGAGTGGCAGACGCAAAGGGCTACCGACCGAACGGCTTCATTCACACGACATTCTGACAAGGTCAGAACTTCAGCAGGGAAAAGACGAATCAGTGGTTGCCAGGGGCTGGGGTTGGGAAGACGGTTTGACTGCAAAGGGACGTGAGAGCAGGTTTTGGGGTGATGGGGACATTCTATTTCATGGATATGATGGGGGTTATAGGACCGCATGAGTTTGTTAAAACTCATAAAACCGTACATCAAAAAAGGAGAGTTTTTACTGTATGCAAAGCATACCTCCATCCTAAAGTAACAAGAGAGGCTGTGCTGTCCAGTGGCTGACAGGCTTGGAGCTGAGGTCACAGGCTCTGGGCCACCCCCACCAGGGGCTGCCCCTGGGGTCCCTGGGGGATAACGCAGGACTCCTCTGGGGCAGGTTGGCCAAGACCTGGTCAGATCCGCAGGGCAGCTAGACCCTCTCCCCAGGCGTGTCTGCTTCCTCTCCTCCTTCCTTTCCCGAGCGTCCCGGCAGCATCCCAGTCTGAGGCCTGCCCGCCCGTTCCTGCTTCCCTCCACGTTCTCTTCCGCAGGGGTCACCCTTCATAAACCTCCTGCAGCCCTGACTCTGGCCCAGCAACTGCTTCCCAGGGGACCTGCACAGACTCATGCAGCATTTCCCAAATTTAAAAGGAATACTTCTTACAATCCTGTGGAAAACACACCGTGACAGCTTACAAATTCGTCAGTCTTTCCCTTCGATGCCGCCTGGGAGCACTCCCCACCCTCGTCTTTTGTGTCCCGGGGACCCAGAGGAGTTGCTAAAGCTTTATGGCCTATCCTGTCTCTCCCCTGGCCCCTCCTGGCAGGAGGGCTCCAGTCCACAGGCTGCAGGGGAGGGTGGGTCCCCAGGGTGACGCTTACCCTCCAGGATGGGGTTGGCCTCCAGGACCTGCTGTTCGATCCACGAATGCTGGCCGCTGACGGTGGCCAGGAACTGCAGGACGAGCTTGGTGGTCTCTGTCTTGCCAGCCCCAGACTCACCGCTGCAAAGAGGGAGTGCAGGGACATGAGTCTACAGGCAAGTGTTTTTTTCACTCTCAACTCTCCTCAAACCCACCTTGGGCTTTTCTGGGCCAGTCTGAGACGGATGCCCTCTCCCCATGCACAAATCCCACTGCATTTGCCCCGAAGTCCCCTGTGGGTCTGCAGTCGCTTATGTCCTATAAGTTAGTAGGTGTTTGTCTTTTCTTCCCTGCTCGGCCGCAAGCTCCTTGGCACATTCCAGGGTCACGGCACACTGCCCAGTAAACACAGACGAATGAACGAGCCGACTCGATGCCTCGCTAATGAGAGCACGGCCCACAGGCGGGCAGCAGACTCAGATGCAGACGTCCAGGCCCCGTTAGGCTCTGTTGAATCAGGTTCTGCATTTTTGCAAGCTCATGGGGAGGATCCCTACACTCTACAGTTTGCATGATGAACTCCCGCTGTCCCATCGCCCAGCTTCAACTCCTGGCCAATTTTGTTTCCCTTCCTGCACTGTTTTGAAGCAAATCCTGGGCAGATATTGTTTCCTCTGAAAATATTACCTTTTGAAAAACTTATGATCAAAATGTCCACCATCGCTGTGCTGGCATAGCCGAGCCAGATCAACAAACCTCCGCTGATGGCTGCAGACTCCCATCGAGGGCCAGGCATTTTTACAAACACAAGCTCATCAAATGACCCACCAGTGTAGAGACAGGAGCTTAAGGGGACTTGCTCACAGCCCTGCGGGAAGCCAGGGCAGGAGGAGAACCCAGGGTGACACAAGTGACGTTCTGTTCACTGCCATGGGCCAAAGATCAGGGAGCTCTTTCCTCTCCTGGCAGCACCCAGGTGGGAGCAGCCCTGAGAGCTCCGTTGCAGCAAGGTGGGTCCCCCCTGTCTTAGGGGGCAGATTGGGCGCTTCAGCTCTCTCCTGGGGCACCTCTCTGTCTTCTCCAGAGCTCTGAGTTCGAACTCCCCACTTGAGCGCTGTATGCCACTGGAAAACAATCTCAGCCTCTCTGATTGTAGGTTTCCCCAGCAGTAACACCAGAATAAGAACATCTCCTTCAGAGGGTTGCTGAGGACACGAAATGCGATTGCCTGTGCTATAGGAGTCTGCTCTCCGTTCGACGTCCCTCCTCAGAGAGGCTGTGCCTGGTCTGCCCCTCCTCTTCCCATGTGTTTCTTTAAAGCTCTTAGTCCCTGCATGATAATGTGATTATTTATTCCCTGTCTACCTCCCCTTCTAGAATGTAAGCTCCATCAGGCAGGGATTTGGGTCCCTTTCATTTGCTGCTGCCTCCCTGTTTTAGGACAGTGAGGGGCACACATCTGGGGCATGGTACAACCTGGAAGGACTGAATGAATGAGAGACTCTGCTAGAGCAGCGAGCAGGTGTCCTGGAGCCAAATTCCCAGGACCCTCCCTCTCCCTCTCAGGCTGCCTCCCTGACACCAGGAGGGCTGGAGGCACAGGAGGAGAGAGGCCAAGCCAGGCAGAGTCTCTGAAGCAGAGTCAAGACTCAGACCGCACGGGACAAGTCCCTCTGGTCCCTCGGCGACCTCAGAGCTGCCCCCCGGAGCCACTGCTGCTTGTCCTCCCCTGAGGCCTGCCGTGAGACATGTTTTTGAGTGAGACCTCATCTGTTTGGCCCTTGCCACCCAAGCACCTAGCCTGGGGCCCATTCCTGATGGAGCCCATGCCATCCTTCCTTCCTTGACCCAGCAGACATTTATCACAGGCGGGGTGCTCTGGGCCGGCAATACCGTGAAAGACCAGGTTCAGAGAGGAGGAAGCTCTGGAGGTGGGCGGGGGAAGGGTGTTTGCCCTTGAATGAGGAGAGCTCCTATGACACGCTGGCCCTGCGGGCGTGCTGGCTGGGAGCAGTTTAGGGAGAGGGAAGGCTCCCTCCTTCGGGAGATGCCTGCACCTGATGACGCAGCTCTGGTCCCTCTTGTTCCTCCGCATGTCGAAGTAGCAGTTGTTGGCGATGGCGAAGATGTGCGGGGGCAGCTCGCCCACGTGGTGGTTGTAGTAGAGCTGCACCTGCTCCAGGGTGTAGAGGGGCAGCACCTGGAATGGGTTCACAGCCACCAGGATGGAGCCTGTGTACGTCTGGGGAAGGGAGAAGCTGATCAGCGCCTCTGCCCCGAGCAGAGCTGCCCAGCCTGGCCTTGGCTGCAATGCCTGAGGGCTACTGGGACCTGCCCACTCTGGTGGGGAAGGGGGCCTGATTCTGGGCCAGGGAGAAAAGGCGCTTGGCTGCTAAGATCTTTCCTCTGGGAAGACGGGGTGTCCACCAGGAATGTGGGCTCCCAGGGGACACGTTCCCAGGAAGGTTAGATGTTAAATGCTGAGCACCCTGCTTGGTACTTAGAAGGGGCTGGATAAAAATGGGCTGGACCTCCATGAACCACTGCAGCCCTCACTGATCCCAGCCGCAGGTCCTGTGTGCTCTGGGCCCCTGGGGACAAGCCCTGCTCCTGGGACCCCAGCCCAGGATCAGCTGCTCCTCTGGAGCCCCCACGAGGTCCAGCGGCCCCTCTGGCAGTGGGACAGGGAGAGCCTCAGCAACAAGCCACACAACTATCCACGTCTTGGTTTTTCATTTTAGGAAAGGAGAGGCTATCCCTCTGGCTTCCAGGCTATGACGACCAAATGAAGAATGGAGGCACAAACGCTTCGGAAAGGACAGCTGCCATCTGTGTAACTTACCGCTGCTCTCAGACCCAGGAGCTCTGCCCACATTAAGCCAGATGACACAGGGTACCCTAACCCCTGTCTCAGGGGCCTCTGCCTTCCCCTCTCCAGGCCTCCCCTCTCTTCAGGGTCCCCAGAGCACTCCCCAACTCCTCAGAGCAGCCCAGAAGGGCTGGTCAGAGCCAAACTAGCCACCCCTCCAGACCAGAGAGAGAGGCCCAGGCAGGCGGTGACATCCCCAGGCTGCACCCACTTGGGCAGAGCACGGAGCATGGGTGGAGCTGGTGTCAATTTGGGATAACGCCTCTCCTGGGAATATCTACGCTGGAACCAGGATGACAGCTTAGGGCCGAGTGAACCTCCATCTGCTGCCAGGGTTTGGGGGAAGGGCCCACCCCTACCCACAGGGCCCTCCTCGTCTGGTCGGGACCCTGGATCCTGCCGTCCCAGGACTAGGAAGGCATCCACTCAGCCACAGACGGAGGGAAGGGCAGCACTTATTGAGCACCTGCTGCGCTGTCACTCTACCCTCCAGGGTGTGATCACCCTGCTTCTTTCAGGTTGGGGAGCAGAGGAAGGCTAGCCTCCTCGCCCCCCTCCCACAGTGAGCGGCGGGGAGTGGTGCCTGGCTCCAGGAGGTCGGCTTCTGTAGGGGTTCCCCTGTGGACACAAGTGGACTCACGTAGATCTTGTGCTGCCGGTAGCGGATCAGGAGGTTGTGCACCATGCCCGCCTCGTTCAGGTCCCCCAGGCAGATCATGTCATCCACGCCCTGGGCTGAGTTGGGGTGCATGGGGCTGAGGGCACCAAGGTCCTCTGCTTGGATCCAGTGTTCCTAGAATGATGAGCACAGATTCTCCTGAGAGGCAGCCACTGTCCACGTAGGCCAGCCTGCCACGCCCTCCCCTCTGAGTCCTCAGCAGTGAGGCAGCACTCAGGGCCATGGATCAGCCAGCTGACCTGGGGCTGGTGGCCAGTCTTTGGCCAAGGTCAGTCTGTGACAAGGGTCAAGGGACACCTGTGACAGGATGAGGTCCATCTATGGGTAGGGCCAGCACATGTCCATGGACCAGGGTCAGTGTGTAGCTGTGGCTAGGGCTGAATTTCAGACCAGGGGTGGAGGAGCTTGGAGCTGGAAGATTTGGAGTCAGGCAGCATCGGGGGACCGCGTAGATTGTTGTATTATAATAAAAGTGTGCAAATAAGAGCATTTTTAAAAAATGTATTATGCAAATAGAAGATATTATTGTTATTATTCTGCTGGCTTCCATAATCTGGGGCTCACAGGCCACAGTCTAGAACCTGCCCCTTGGAAGTCAAGCCTGCAGCTGCCTCACTCTGCAGCACCTAGCTGAGCAGTGAGGATGGCCTGAGGAGGAGTTAAGTGACCAGCTGGACGCTCCCCTGCGAGCCTCGTGCCCCCGCCAGTGGATGAGCTGGTCACTCTGGGCCACCCTGAGACGCCAGCCTCTCACTTATGGGGTTTTGCCCCTTCCTCTCCCTCCACACACCTTCCTCACCCACCTTTCCCGCCTGCCCCCCTCACTTTGCAGACCAGTTCTCTCCCTCCCCAGCCCTGTTCCCTAATTCTCCTGGTTTCCTACACACAACATAGTCTTCACCACAACAGGACTCCTGTGGTCTGTCCTGCACACCCCTCGGCCTTGGAGCACCTGCCGCCAGGGAGCAGAGCCAGAGAGGGGAGGGCGCCAGGCCCTGGAGGGGGCCCCGCAACACTGACCTTGCCCTCATCGTCCTCAACCAAGACCTTGCCCGGCTTCGTTTCCTTGATAATGCCTCCGATGGCCACACCAGTCTTGTTTGCAGAGGGAGGGTCTAGCCACACGTGGTCACCCTGGAGGACAGAGAGAGGACAATGGTCTGATCCCCCCCTTCCCCTTCCTACTGGAGACTTGCCACTCGGGGCTGTCCCTGCCAGCCCAGAGCTCCCAAGGGGGCTGGAGCTCGTCTCTCTCTCTCCCTCCCTCTTCTCTCTCCCCCCACCCTTCCTCTTTCTCTCTCTCTCTCCCAGCCCAGGTTTCCTGTGAACAGGTGTCACTGGCACTTCTCACTGGGCAGGTACCAGATGTGGCCTGTACAGCTTCTCTCCACGTCTCCGTCTTTTCTGGGACAGTAAATTGACCGAGAGCAGGAGCTCAGGCTTTGCCACAGGACCTCTCATGAAGAAAAAGAAACACGGCCACTATTTACAAAGGCAGCATGGCTGAGTGATTTCGAGAGCAGCGTGCTTCTCAAATTTGAGGATGTAAGCAAGAATTGAACTTTCCACTTGCATCATCTCAGAAATTACCCACAAGCAACTAGGAGGATGAGAAACAGAAACAAACACATCATCTGTGAAACTGGGAAAAGGCTGCACCCCCGAGCCATACAGTAGCAGGAAGGCTGCCAGGAGATGCAGGAGGAACCTGAAAAGGTGGTCCCAGCTGTGGATTCCAGAAAGTTCCAGCAAAGTTTATTTCCCTAAGGTGGGGGCACATCCTGACGGCTTGCTGCAACAGCCAGAACAAAGGCACCAGGCGGCAGTGCAACTCCCCCAGCCTGGCTTAGTTCTAAGAAATACACCACGTTGGCAGGCCTGCCATATTTGCAGGAAGCAGTCTCTCTGTGAGGTGGGAAAAGAGAAATCTTGCCCTGTGAAAAGCCCTCCAGTCCCAAATCCATTGGCTGGGAGTAGTAAGGCCAAAAACCCACATACAAAGTTTCTACTAACCAGCAACACGGTGTTGATCCCACATGAACCTCCTTCTAATCCGAGAAATCTCATTCCATTCAAAGAAAAGTGATCCAAAAGGAACCAGCACAGGACTACAGACAGAGGTACTGAAATCCAAAAGGAGGGAATCCAAACGACACTCACCGGAAGAAAAAGAACTGCCACAGAGCAGTGGAAAGTTGTGACCAAGTATTCCACCATCGTCTACAAAACCTTACTGAAGCACAGGCCAGAGGCCACAGAGCTCAGGAACTAGGCGGAGAGACAACTGAGAAGGATGGGGCGTGAGTCAGCAGAGCTCAGGGAAGAAATGGAGGAAAAGAAACAAACACAGCCGGAATGAAGGCAAAATGGGAAACAAGAGCAGGAGAACATGCACTGCTTAAACAACACGGGAAGAATCATAAAAGATAGGAAGGAGAAAAGTGAGCAAAGTCACAGAAATTTAAAAAATTAGGATTAGAAAGGAAAGGATGGATATAGAAGACAGGGAAAAATACAAATAGAGTGTTCAAAGAAGAAAACTAGGGGGATAAAAAAGAGCAGAAAGATTATTTAAAGATAAAATTCAAGGCCAGGTGCGGTGGCTCACTGTAATCTTAGCACTCCAGGAGGCTGAGGGAGGAGGATCATTTGAGGCCAGGTGTTGGACATGAGCCTGAGCCAAGAGCGAGACCCCATTTCTCAAAAAATAGAAAAATTAGCTGGGTATAATGCCACACACCTGTAGTTCCAGCGACTTGGGAGGCTGAGGCAGGAGAATCACTTGAGCCCAGGAATTGGAGGCTGCAGTGAGCTGTGATGACACCACTGCACTTTAGCAGAGGCAACAGAGTGATACTCTGTCTCAAAAAAAAAAGAAAAAAGAAGATAATTCAAGACAACTTTCTGGAAATTAAAGAAATGTGAATCTGGCCGGGCGCAGTGGCTCACACCTGTAATCCTAGCTCTCTGGGAGGCCGAGGCGGGCGGATTGTTTGAGCTCAGGAGTTCGAAACCAGCCTGAGCAAGAGCGAGACCCCGTCTCTACTAAAATTAGAAAGAAATTAATTGGACAACTAAAAATATATAGAAAAAATTAGCCGGGCATGGTGGTGCGTGCCTGTAGTCCCAGCTACTCAGGAGGCTGAGGCAGGAGGATCACCTGAGCCCAGGAGTTTGAGGTTGCTGTGAGCTAGGCTAATGCCATGGCACTCTAACCCGGGCAACACAGTGAGACTCTGTCTCAAAAAAAAAAAAAAAAAGTGTGAATCTACAGATTGAAAATGCACCAGGTACCAGGAAATAATAACCAATAAAAATCAACTCCAGGACATATGCTAGTAAAAATTACTGGACTTTAAAAATAAAGAAATAATTTTCAAGGGGTAGGTAGACAAAAAAGAGAAAATTTAGTTAGTTTATAAAGAGAAAATTCAGGGCAAATTCAAATCCTGTAAGAGGGCCAGCAACTTCTACAAAGATCTCAGGAAAAGAGCAATCCGCCCATTGGGATGGCCACTATCAAAAGAATAGAAAAAACAGGAGTTGTCGAGGATGTGGAGAAATTGGAACTGTCATCAGTGTCGGTGGGAAAGTAAAGTGGTATAGCCATAATGGAAAACAGTATGGCGTTTCCTCAAAAAGTCAAAAACAGAATTACCCTATGATCCAGCAATCCCACTCTGGGTGTATATGTATCCAAAAGAGTTCGAAGCAGGGTCTTGAAGAACCATTTGCACATCCATGCTCATTGCAGCAACCATTCACAACATCCAAGAAGTGGGAGCAACACAAATGTCCATCAACAGATAAATGGATTCAGAAAATGTAGGATATACATACAATGGAATATTATACAGCCTTAAAAAAGAAGGAACCCCTGTCCTATGCTACAGCGTGGGTGCATTTTGAGGACATAATGCTAGGCAAAATAAGCCAATCTCAAAAAGAGAAATACTGACTCTTTAAACTGTGTGCACTTATAACTTTATAAAAATAAAAGCTAGATTCAAAAAGAAGAACAAGAAATAGTCGTACAGGCTGCAGAAGGCGAGCATGAACAACAAATGGTATTTAGTGAACTAATTAAATCCCATCAGAACCCTAAGAAACCTAGGAGACACTTTCTTACAAGAAAGAAATTGCCAACAAGTGAATAATTGCATCGCGCAGCTGAACCAGCTGGCCAGTCACCAAAGCGAGAAGATTAAAAGTCGAAGACAGATGATGAGCATCTGTCATCGACATTAACCAGGGCTGATAAAAAGAGACCATTTCCCATCCAGACCGAGTGATGAGGTGTCAGCCCCACGGTGCTAGAAGAATAAAGTAAAGAACTGGGGCATGACTTCGGTTCAGTCAATTCGGCCAAAGCCCTACTAGGAAATAGTCGAGCAGCCACGCAGCAGAAAAAGCCTTATCATGACTCTACTTGCAGACGAAGACTGTGCACAGCCTGAAGCAGCTGAATCATGAGAAGGGTGAGCGAGGAGAGAAAGCAGCTGTCAGCTGCAAAGAAAGACAACGTTGATGTTGAGTTTCGAGAGAGAGGATGAGTTACAGAAAGCAGAGGGGCTGGCTAGTGACAAGAAATCCCTGATGACCGGCTGCTGCTTGTGCCTGGGAAGAGCTTGCTGGAGAGGAGGCGGGAGCGCCAGCCTGAGACTGGAGCTACTACACAGAAACCCAAAGAACAGCCCACTCCTGGATCAGGGAGACCTGATCCTCCGGTGCCTTCACGCTGACGCCCCCTGAGATGGGCGGCTCTGGCTTACGGGCTAAAACGGCAGCGCCCTGTGCCCATTGCCATGCGCCCACCTGCCACGTCCTTCTCCCCTAGCAGAAGAGATGGGCCTCTGAGGCCACTCTGCGCCTGTGGTGGGGTCATCGGGGCACCTCCAGAAGTGTCCCAGCCCCAGTGCAGGTCCATCATTGGCCACAGGAGCTCTGCCCATCGCAGGGACAGATGGCACAGCTGCCACAGGTGCTGAGGGCCCTCCAGTGCCTGGTCATCGGACCACCTCCCATCTGATAAGGAATAAATTGATTGAGGATGAGGAATGATTGATTTACCATCAAGCTCTACAAATAAATGTTCATGGTTTAATTAGTCAGGGACTGCGCCAATCTAACAGAGAGGCACGTTGAATCTCAAAATATTTCCACCCAGTCTTGCCCACTGAAGGGTCCCCAGCCAACCTGAGTATGCTGATACTCAGCTCTCATTTGGAAGGAAGATGAGGTTTCATCAAAGTGGCTAAGATCATGTTCTACCCAGGCCTCAGGGTGGTCAGGATGTGTGGCAGCACCGCTCGGGGTTTCTTCACTCAGCCACTGGGGAGGGGAGGGGCTGGTGATCGTGGCGAGAGAAAGGTGTATGGGCGTGTTCATCCTCAGGTCACTCACCACGCATGCGTGTCGGTAAGCCTGTGTGCGTGCGTGTACGTGCACACAGCATGTGCCTGAGAGGACGCCTCAAAGCCAAAATCGGGAAAAGCTACTGGTTGAAAAAATGCCTTGGCCATGAGGGGTCTGTTCTCCTTCTGTAAGTCTTCAGTTTTTGTTTGGGGACTCACCCCTCCCCGGCTCTAAGTCGCTGTGGTCCTTGGGGAGCACTGCTCCCACCCAAGGATGGCGCAAGTGACCCAGGCCCAGTCCACTCATCCCACCCCCTCGGCCCTGAGAAAGGAGGCTGCATAAACCGCCCGGTTTGGGAATCCCTGACACGGTCAAGGCCAGTGCTGTCCAGCAGAAATGCAACGTGAGCTACACATATGATTTAAAACTTTCTAGCAGCCACATTTAAAAAGTAAAGAGAAACAGGTGAAATTAGTTTTATGAATGTTGTTATTTAATCCAATACATCCAAAATACTAGCATTTTATTAACATTACAATTGATATGAGAGTTATTAATGTGATATTACACAATCTTATTTTGTACTAGCCCTTAGATCCAGAGTGTGCTTTGAACTGAGAGCACTTCTCGCTGTGGACCAGACACATTCCCAGGGCTCAGTGCCACCTGAGCTCGTCACCACCATCGGGGACAGCAGATTTGGCCTGGCAGGGGCTACCTGCTCCCAGCACTTTCCCAGTGCACCATGGTCTGGCTCACCTCTGGGTCTAGGCATCTACTGTTTCCTCTGGGGACCACTCTTCCCCCCTTGTACATACTCAGAACACCCAGGAGTCCTAAAGCTGTTATCAAGGTTTGGAATGAGATGTGGTTTCCAATGACCTGGTATGATCTTCACAACAGTACTATTATTCCTATTGTACCACCAAGATTTGAGTGGTAGTGTTATGATTTGAAGCAAGGTGGGTGTGGCTCCAAGAGGTGGAAGTGGGAGGGGAGGAAGTCTTGAAGGCCAGAGAGACTGGAGGAGTCATGTCAGCTGACCGGGGCATCTGGTGGCTGCTTCACCTGTGACCTGTGTCCCTCAGTAGCTGTGGCTGTGCCTCCCCTTCCCCATGGTAAGGACCAGTCAAGGCAGGGTCGCCCAGTTCTGAAAGGTAGTGCTGATGTCTTGAGATGTCTCAGACGGCCCCGTGTCCAACTGACAGCTGATAAAACTGAGGTCCAGAGAATGGAAGGGGCCTGGCCAAGGTCACACGGCAAGCTGAGGCGGCATCTCCCCCAGCCAGCGAGCCAGCCTCACGAGTTGAGAAAGGAGCATGACACTAAGGACAGTACATTTGCAGCAAGAGACACACCAAGCAGGCTTGAAAATGGGCACTCCCGGGGGATTCGTGACAGGCCTTCCACTTCAGCTTTCAGAGACCCTGGCGAACAGAACAGCCCCGGAGAATCCCCAGCCAGACCCTTTTATCAACATGAATGATTCCAGCATGAACTTGATGTTACCACAGGATCCCGCTAGTCCCAATGTGGGGGGTCTCACAATATTGCCCTGGCTGGTCTGGAACTCCTGGCCTCAAGCAATCCTCCCATCTTGGCCTCCTGAGCAGCAGGGATTACAGACACGAGCCACTGCACCTGGCCAGAAATACATTCTTGAACATGTGGTCAAATGATTTTCAACAAGAGTGCAAGACCTTTCAATGCGGAAACAACAGTCTCTTCAACAAACGGTGCTGGGGACACTGGATGTCCACATGCAAAAGAGGGCAGTTGGATACTTACCTTACCTATACAAAAATTAACTCAAAACGAATCAACGATCTCAATGTAAAAGCCAAAACTATAAAACTCCTACAAAAAACGTAGGGGAAAATCTTTATGACATTGGATTTGGCAGTGATTTCTTGGATATGACATCAAAAGCAACAAAATAAAAATAGATAAATTGGGCTACATTAAAATTTAAAAACTGTGCATCAAAGGACACAATCAACAGAGTGAAATGGCAACCTATGGAATGGGAGAAAGTATTTGTAAATCATATATCTGACAAGAGGTTAATATCTACAATATGTAAAGAACTCCTGCAACTCAACAACAACAGCCAATTTAAAAATGGGCAAAAGACTTGAACAGATATTTTCCCAAAGAATATATACAAATGGACAAGCGCATAAGAAAGATGCTCAGCATCATTAATCATTAGGGAAATACAAATGAAAACCACAGTGGCATACCACTTCCTATCTATTAGGATGGCAACTATCAAAGAAACACAAAATAACAAGTGTTGGTGAGGATGCAGAGAAATAGGAACCCTTGTGGGAATGTAAGATAGTGCAGCCACTATGAAAAAGAGTATGGTAGTAACTAAAAAATCAAAAATAGAATTACCATATGATCGATCAGTTTTACTTCTGAAAGAATTGAAAGCAGGATCTCAAAGAGATAGCGGCACAGCCATGTTCATAGAAGCGCTATTCACAATAGCCAAGAGGTGGAAGCAACACAAATACCTATCGATGGCAGAAAGGATAAGCAAAATGTGGTATACACATACAGTGGAATATTACTCACTTTAAAAAGGAAGGAAATCCTGTCATATGCTACAACAAGGATGAGCTTTGAGGACATTATACTAAGTGGAATAAGCCAATCACAAAAGAACAAAAGGGCAAATACTGTATGATTCCAGATATCTACAGTAGTCAAATTCACAGACAGAAAGTGGAATGGCGGCTGCCAGGGACTGGGGAAGAAGGGAATGGAGAGTTGTTCAATGAGTACAGAGTTTCGATTTTGCAAGATGAAAAGAGTTTTGGAGATTAGTTGCATTAACAATGTGAATGTATTTAACACTACTGAACTGCATGCTAAAAAATGGTGAAGATGGTACATTTTATGTTATGTATATTTTACCACATTTAAAAACACACACACACATATATATGTATGACTATATACTATGAGAGAGATAAAGGTACACTTAGCTACTGCTGGAGAAATGCTCCCTCACTCCCAAGGATGGGGCAGGGGATGTGATTCTTAAGCTTGAAAATCGAATTCCTCCAACTGGAGTCCTATTTTCGTTATACTAGAAGAGTCTACTAGCCTCAGTTCCACCACTAATTGCACTTAAAAAATATTCTCTCTATGATGTATTCAACATGTTCGAATTTTCTTAAAATTAGACATCAGAGTAAAATTTAAAGCCCATTGTCTACTGAACTGTGACTGCACAATCCCTACATTGAAGCTCTAACCCCCAATGTGGCTGTGTTTGGAGATAGGGCCTTCAGGAGGTCATTAAAGTGATGTCATAAGGGTGTGGCTTTAATCCAATAGGACGGGTGTTTCTATAAGAGAAGGAAGACAGTGCTCTCCCTTGCCCCACCTCTCTCACATCTGGCTCTTGGCCTTCCAGCCTCCAGAACCGTGAGAACACCAGTGCCTGTTGTCAGCTGCCCAGTGTGGGGTACTTGGTTACAGCGGCCCAAGCAGATCCACAGAAAGCCCCCCCGAAGTCGGACAGACTGAGGTTCCAATCTCTACTCTATATTCTGTGAGTTATGTGGCCTCGGGAAAGTCACTTAACCGCTCTGAGCTGTGATTTTCTTGTGTGTTGAAAGGGACGGCTTGGCAGGGCTGTCGTGAGCAGGGCTGTAACACGCGGCAGGACAGGAGAGCGCCTGGCACAGAGCCGGCAGGCGGCCGGGCCAGCAGTACCAGCTCGGTCTGGCTCTGCCCTTTATTCAACAACCACTTGGACTCTCTGAAGGATTCGTGGATGAATCAGATCACCACCCTCCGCTCAAAGAACTCGAAATCCTAGACAATGCAGCAGGTCCACAGCTGTCACTGTGAGTCATACGGCCCCAAGAGGTACGAGCTAATGTGTCCCATGGGCATATTCCTCTGTGAAAGAAGTCTGGCTTGGTGTTCTCCACAGCGGTGCTAAGCTCTCCTGTTTGTGGTTTAGTTACAAAAGCTCTCAGGATGTGAACGTTTAGACCACACGTGCCCTTTCTTCAGCCTCGGCTCTATTCTCTAACCGAGACAAAACCAACCCCAAACCAACCCTGGCTGCCCGTTCTCCGAGTCAGCTGATGCCAGGTCCCCGTCCCAGGAGCCAGGCAGCCCTTGCTTGGTGGAGGTGTCCCTCTCAGCCGCGTGGACCCAGCAGCCAGGGGCAACGACCACCATGCGGCTTTGAGCTTGGGGAGAGAAGATTTGGGTGTTTTCTTATCAAAGAGGACTGTGCAGCCGTGTCGGGCTCTCCCGCGCTTTGTGGGGCATGGAGGGGGCGGGGAGCTAACCTGGTGGGCAGGGAGGATGCGCGGATTGGCTTGGGAGCTCTCCTCTGGGCTCCCCCAGCCTCCTGTCCCTGCCTCCCAGGACAGGGCAGGTTCTCAGTGTCTGGATTCAACAGGAAATGCCAAACTCCCCTGCTTCCTTCCTGCAGACATCCACCTCTTGGCCACCGGGACACAGGGGCATTTGTTGAGTGAAGGGAACACAACACAGAGCCCAAGGTGGTGATTCGGCCAGGGTTTGGTCCCACTCTGTCCCACAGGTGCCGGGGTTACCTGTTTTCTCTCGGGGAGCTCCCTGCCACTAATGCAATGAGACGACAAGCAAGAAATCCCTTGATCAAGACATTCTAAGCCCTGAACATAAGCCAAGGATAACTATGCATGTGGGTATGGCCGCCCTGCAGAGGCCCAGAGCTTGGCCAATTTTTTCTTTAGGTGGTAAAATCTACCTGGTTCCTCAAACTCCCTTGGCTCTGCTATTTTCCTCCAGGGTCTCATTGGCTTTGTTCTTTCCTCAGGAGTGAGGCAGCTCAGCCTTGAATGACTTCCACGAACACCCCCAGATCAGACACGCGCAGTTCTTACCAGCTGGAACGCCGACATCCTGGGTCAGCAGCTCCACACAGCCCGTCTGTAGAGAGAAAGCAGAACATCAGCTGCTCACGCTCCCCTGACCCAGAGCCCCACGTGTCCCTGGGTGCCTGCACGGGACCTGGCTCAAGAATGGCTCCGAATCGAAATGGATGAGTGGGTCACAGTCCCATCCCACATGCACTAATGTGCTTTCTCAGCTTCCTCGTCTTATCTCACCTTCAACGAAGGTCCATCTGGCATCAGCCCTGGGCTCGACACAGGGTGTGAAGTGGGTCACTGTCCCCCAGAAGCCCAAATTTTATTTGGTCAGACATCTGTGAAAGGCAGTCCTCATCGTGCATACTGAGAAATGCTCAGGTAAGCAGCCACAGAGCTACAGACACATCAGATACTCTACCTAAACCTCACAGCAGCACAGGACGAGGCTGTTCCCCTCCTTCATATGGGGGGCTCAGCAAAGGGAAGGTGACCCAGTTAATTAGCACAGCTGGGAGTCGAACCCAGATGCACCTCCTTTCAAACCTGTCCCCAGCACCTGGCTGCTCTGGGTGCTTTGGGAGCTCACAGGCAGGCCCTGTTGGCAGCCGACAAGTGGAGGAGGGGGGACAGGGCCCCACTTGCCTGATCTAAAGGAGGAAACCCCGTCTGTCATCCTGACACGAGCGCTGGTGTCATTCGCTTCCTTGCTCTGAGCAGCACGAGGCAAGCACCGGGTCTGCTGCATTCACTGCCCTGTCCCTGTACCTAGCACTGGCCTGCCCCCAGAAGGGACTCAGCAGCCACTATTTGTCCAGTGAAAGAGTGAATGAAGCCCTTGGAGAGGATGTTGCTTTGACGGTGGCTTTGACGGGTGAGTGAGGCTACACGGTGGCAGAGGCAGCTCTGAGAACAAACGCTGCTGCTATCCCATTTTACAGGTGAGAAAATGGAGGCTGAGAATTGCAGAGGCTTTGCCAGAGCTATTTGACTGGTAAGTGAAGAAAGGGAGTCTCCTCCCAGCCTCCAAATCCATCCTCCTTGCCCCACATCCTCTGCTTTGGGAAAGTTGAAGGGTCTGCATAAAAATGCAGAGAAGACCTTCACCAAATCCTGGCCCCTGGGCAGCTCTTTGAAGGAGAGGCTTGTCCCTCTTCCCACCTTGCATAACCCAGAAGGTGGCAGGCGGGAAAAGACGCAGAGGGGCATTGCCCTGCCTCTGGCTACGTGTCGATTCTCTGCCCTGAGTAGAGACCTGAGGCCCACCCCGGTCCTGAGCAACCTCACGGCATCTCAAGTACATCACACTGTCCCTCTCCAGATACCAGGCTCTGCTTCACAGGAGTCCCCGCCTTGGTCCGGCTTACCCCAGGAATGGCCTGTCACATATTGTAGGTGGCCCGTGTCTTCGGTGGCTGAGAGCTGCTCTACCTCCCTGTCCTCCCCTGCCCCTTCCCGCCCCGTCCTGCCTCATGCGAGCTTACCCAGTGAGCAGCTGGTCTCTCATTTCCCCGTGACCCCTTGGTCCTGCGGTTCCTGCCCAACCTACCAACCCACAGCCTTGCTTCACTCCTGCTGCCAACTAGCCTGGAAACTGCCTTAACTCTTCTGAGGAACAAAAGCCGTCATATAAATACTTCTAACTGGAATACAAAAATAAAAGACATATTGAAATATCACACTGTACCCCATAAATATGTACAATTATTACATGTCAATTAAAAAAATAATAAAAAGACAAAGAAAAAAGAAAACACAAGCAGCACACATTACGAGGACCCCTCTGGTCCATCACTGTTCCTTTAACCGACTCCTGCTCTGACCTTGCCAAGTCAGAGCACAGCCAGGATGGATCCCCCTGCCTTGCGGACAGGGGCCAGGGTGGTCTCATGGCCTGCACCTCCCCAAGGCCTTCAGAAGTGCCCAGGGATCCTCCTTTAGGCCCTGGTCAGCCCTTTCTGCCAAAAACCCTATTTCAAAGCTCCCTCTTGCCACTCACTCCTGGGAACACTTTGACCTTTTTCACTGAAAAAGAGAGAAATCGCCCTCAGCTTCCAACCCCACCACTCCCTGCCATCTCCTGTACCTCTCTCTGCACACTTAGGTGACTGTCCAGAGGAAGGGACTCCCGATGGCCCACACCAATCCTTCCATGCCTGTCCTCTTTGGCCTCCTCTGTCAGCGCCTTGCTTTATTGGTTACTGTGGTCATTTAAAATATGTCCACTAATTTTTGACATGCTTCCCTCATAAGATGGAGACTCATTCTGCCACCAGAAGTGATCGGCTTCTACCAAATAGAATCAGGTAGAAGTGATGGAGCATAGCTCTTGAGACTAGCTCACAGAGACTTTGTGGCGTCCTCCTTACACTCTCTCTAAGATCACTTGGGCTGGGGAACCTGGCTGCCATGTCGTGAGGATACTCAAGCAGCCCTGAGGAGCGGCCCATGTGGTGAGAACTGAGGGCTCCAGTCAACAGCCGTGTGACCTTGGAAGGGATCCTCCAGCCCCAGCCCAGGCTTCAGATGACCACAGCTCCTGCCATCATCCTGACTACAGCTTTGTCATGGGCTGAACTGTGTCCCCCCAACATTCATTTGTTGAAGTCCTAACCCCCAGTACCTCAGAATGTGACCATATTGGGAGATAAGGTTTCTAAAGAGGTGATTACATTTTTCAAAGGCCATTAGGATGGCCCTAATCCAATATGACTGGTGTCCTTATAAGAACAGGAGATTAGGACGCTGACATGCACAGAGAGAGACCGTGTGAAGAGACAAGAGAATGGGCGGCCATACCCACATCTGTGAGCCGAGGGGAGAGGCCTTGGAAGAACCGAACCCCACTGACACCTGGATCTTGGACTCCCAGACTCCAGAACTGTGCGAATCTAAATTTCTGTTGTTTAAGCCCCCAGTCTGTGGTATTTTGTTATGGTAGCCCAAGAACACCACTACAAACCCTATGAGGGTCCCTGGGCCAGCACCACCCAGGTAAGCCACTCTTGGATTTCTGACCCTCAGAAACTGTGTGAGATAATAAATGCTTGTTATTTCAAGCTGCTAAAGTTTGGGTGATTTGTTATGCAGCGACTGATAACGAATACAGTTCCCCTCCCCGCACACCTTCCTTCTCTCTCACTCTTCTGGCCCTTTGCTCCCTGCACAGGGACAAGCTCAGGTGTTACCTGTCTGAAAATGAATGTTCTCAGCTTCATGACCCCTCCAGCCACTAGCCTCCTCCTCCCTGTGTTTGCGCCACAGCCACGCTGGCTGCGGGAGACCCCCCCGCAAGCTGCCTGCACTTTCTTGCCTGTCATGGCTTCCTGACCAGCCCTTCCGCCGCCCCACAGGCCTGCACTCAGCTGCCCTTCCCTCCCCCTCTCAATCTCCTCCCAGCGCCTCCCTCCCTCACCTTGACCTCTCGGTGTCCCAGGGAGATGCTGATGATTTTTGTGCGCCTGGCACACCTTCCTGCCATGTCCTTCTGGGGAACGTCTCCTCCCCTAGTCCAAACTGCACTTCAGATGAGGACCGTGAATCGGGGACCCCAGTCGCCCCTGCGGCCCAAGCTGGAGCCAAGCACAGCTCTCCCTGGATGTTCTGAGTTGGAGCTGGGGGTTGCTTTTCCTCTCTAGTCTCAGTGTGATGAGCTATGATTCCAGAAGTGCCAGGAGCCATGGCCCTAGCTTCTTAAAATAGCTGGTTTGAGAGAGTAAAATTGGGGGTCCACACCAGGACCAGAGCCCTACTCCGGCATCTGCAACCCGCACCCCTGGCCCGGTCTCCAGACCCAGCAAGACCCCGATTCCCCGGACATCTCCCTCAGATGCGCCGTGGGCGCGTGCAGCTCGGTGCGACCACGGTCTCCTCCGCTCGGTGCCGCACCTGCCCTCCCCCGTCGCTTTATGTCAAGGAAGGAAACTACTAATTGCTGAGGAAAACACTGAGTCATCCTATTCCTCACAACCAAATGATCACTGGGACCGAAAGACTGTGTCTTAAAAACTTGAGGCTCCCAATTATATGCTGTCTACAAGAACCCCATTTTAATATAAAGACAGAGCTAGACTAAGAGTAAAGGGATGGAAGATGTACCACGCTAACACCAATCAAAAGAGAGCTGGATACGCCCGTGCTCTGCGTAGGAGGGAGCGCGCGCTGCAGCAGTTGCACTAATTTCAGACAGGGCACACTGGAACATTAGGAGGAATAAAGAGGCCATTATGAGGGAGAATTGATTAGCCCGGAGGACGGGACAGCTTCGCAGGTTGCTAAGCGACGAGGCGGGAGCGTGCGCGCGCCCGGTCGCCGGGGACGCCTGAGGGAACCGCCGCGGTGGTGTCGGGTGGCGAGGCGAGGGGTGTGGGGGCGCTTCCGCTTCCTCGGAGGCGGCGGGCAGACGCGCTCCTTCCCCACCCGGGCGGCCGTGAGCCCTCAGGCTCGGAACGCGCCGCTGCGGCGTCCCGCCTGGCCTTTACCCAGGCCGCGCGGAGCCGACGGCGGGCGCGGGGTCCTTCCGGCGCGGGCAGCGCAGCCGCGCTCTGCGGGCGTCGTGCCCCGAGCGCGCGCTCCCCGCTGCGAACGCGGCTCTTCCAGAGCGAAGCCGGAAGTGTCACTGAGCGTCTGCTTTGTGGTAGGTGAGCCCTTCCCTTCCAGGAGCTCACGGTCCACGGCTCTAACTTTGTCTAAGCCTTGCCCATTCTATTTTGGAAATTGGATGCGCTTTAAACCATCTTTACCCTTAGAATTATGCCAAACTTGCATTTTTGAGGAAAGGATGGCAGCTGAATGGGAGACACTGGTTGTTCCAGGCAGTCTCAGCTGGCAAGAGAACTTAATAAATTTGCATTTAAAATTTATGCTGCCCAAGGGAATTGCTGCGCTCTCTGAAGGCTTGTTTCACGTGGATATTAAAAGGAAGCTGCGATCCTCTGGGATGGCACACACGTAATGAAAATGAGTAAAATATTTATATTAGAAAAAAAGAGGGTATTACGCGATGATAAAGGGATAAATTCTCTAACAAGACA